AATTTTTAGAATGCATCAGATTTTGCTGAAACTTGACCTATAGGGCTTATTTGACATGCTCATCACAAAAATGAGATCCGTTTCGCATGAAAAGGCCTCGTTCGTGAGATCAACCTATAGGGCTTATTTGACATGCTCATCACAAAAATGAGGTCCGTTTCGCATGAAAAGGCCTCGTTCGTGAGATCGTGAGAAGAGATGAATTTTATTTTAGCGACAAATGAATACGATATTCGTGTTTACCGCACAGGATTACCCTATAGTGCAAAGTTATAGCGAACTCTGACTTTTCGCAGCTTAGTTATTGACAAATTGCCTTCAAAACTTGACGCATTTGACTTTTTCAACTTCTCAAAGGCGTCCCACCTTAAACTGTGCTTAAATTTCATTTCTTTTTCACTGATTCCAATGTGCCAACTTCCAGCTAAATGCTGCCTATAATTGCTTTTTCATACGTTTGAATCAGGTTTCGTAGGGCTTCATGTTTGCCAAAAAATCGTGAAACCTCGATTTTCAGCAATTTCCAAAAATGCTTAGATTTTTGTACTACGTTATCAAAAATCAAACGGTTTGCGCAGACTTGCAGCTTACATCACGATCTACATGATGCCATAAAATGAGATTGCTACATAAAACAGGAAAAAAGTTACGGGAAAAGTTGCAAAACTTATGTGCCAACCTAATACAATCGTTTTCGTAACCCGATATACGACTGCGCGACAGGGGAAATGGAAGTGAACTCTCCATGTGCGTCTTTAAGGAGTACGGTAGCCACTACTTAGACGCTTGCCCTCGGGTGACATCCATCAGGGATCGAGTGGCTCTACTGATTAGCGAACAAAGGTGTCACCGTTGCTTGGGGCGGCGCACCCACGGCTGCATCAGACGAACTTTTTGTTTTTATTGCAAGGACAGCGAAGTAGGAGCGGCGAACGACCATCAGCCGCTGTTTGCACCCTGACGGATGAATCAAGCGCTTACGTCTGCGTTACGAGGAAATCCAAGCACGGATCGAGGACTGCACAAGGGAATTGAAAAATCGAGGAAGGACAAACGACGGATCACAGAGAATCAAGTCACAGCAAGGAGGATCCTGGTCCCTCTCCTCGACGTTGAGGCTGGCTTCGCTGTATTCACTGCACTGCGCACAAAGAACAGTTGCCTTGCGCGGCCGATCAGCTGCGTTTCTAACAGGCTATGTTTATGTTCATGCTTATCAGTGTGCTCATCAGTAGATTCTTAGAGACAGTATAAGGGCAAAATTTCAAACAGAGTTTTTCTCGCTTATCTTGGCTTATCCTTCTCGCTGATTTCGAGAAGGCAACTTGCAAGGTACGAAAATGTCGAAAACGGGCTATTTCAGAAGCCCCTGATTTTAAATTTACGCCTGCCGCCAAGGTTGATATGCAGAATCTAGGTGGGACCCTACGTCTTGACTGTGTGCGATATGCGCACTCTAGCTGATCGATTCGGTAAGCGGGGTCCTCCGAGTGGCGTGGCTCACCTAACTGAAGCATTTTCCTCGCTTTCGGATCCACGGGATGTGTCCGCGAGTGGGCTGCGAGGTATGTCAAGGCGGCTACTTTTGTGCAACAGTGAAATCGCGAAACCCTTTGGACACTGCCTATAAGCGTATTGGTATTTGTTTGTGTTCTATCGCGTACATAACTAGAGAATATGAGTTAGCTGCTATAGTTGCTTCAGTGGATTTATTTCTTTTCATTTTATACTTGTTGCTTGCTTTCTCATACTTCTTCACAGGTTCACGGCTTCCAGGACAGGCTCTATCACAATGTACAAAATATTTTGATTTTCATGATAAATAGTATTTGTTTGTCATAGTCGCTTGTGTAGACCGTCAAGCATTAGCACAATAAAGTTTAATTACCCATATAATAAGTGAGCGAATCTCAGGAGTTCGAGCGGAGGATAGGGGTTTTGGGTGTATATAGGCATAATTAGTCTATCAGGGAAAATAGGCGGGATTTTTTCCAATTTTTGCATTTTCAATAAAAATTCGCCAGAATTCGAGTTTTTCGCGTTTTCCTGCCCCGCAATTCGAAAACTTAGACAAATCGGCGTCTAAATTGTGAGAAGAGGATACGCGGGACCATTCTGAAGAAAAGTTGTGTGGTTATGCGTCTTTTCAGAGAGGACTCATCCTTGCAGAATACCTGTGTGCGACGCCCCGCCCCAAAAATTTTTTTAAACGGAAAAAAGACATGCTCAAACGTTATAGAAAAAATTGAAAAAAAAATGCGACTGCCATTTCTGATGAAGGTCTACCTAACCTGATTTTTTTGGTGAATTATGGATGATTTTTAAAAAATTGATTTTTTCAGAAATTAGCAAACACTCGGTTTTTCAGATTTCGGGTTTACGGTAAAGCTGGGGGTCTGCAATTTTGCACACGTACATCTAGCCCGTGCCTTACTACCCCATAAGAATTTTGAGATCACTCTGGAGCGAGTTCTGTAAAACCCGGTTCAAAACCCCATAACTCGAGAGTGTGCGGGGCTAACGGGCGGGGCTAAAACCAAAAAATTCTGCAGGTCAAACTGGTCCGGGGAACTTTGCCCGAGGGGGGGAGGGTATGCGGGGCCCGGTACGGAGAGGTAACCATTCCTGGGTGAGCCTATTCAATTTTCCAGCGAGTCTCACCCATTAAATAAGAGACTGTGCAATATATTGTATCGTCGTGCAATATATTGCACAGCCTATAATGGTGAATTTTGGCTGGTGAACGTGAATGCACTGAGAGTGAAAAAATCACTTTTTATCATGTAAGTGCCGGACCAAAATTTCGATAATTTTTTGAAAAACGGGAAAAATTGGGGAACGCTGGAGCATAAGATAAAAGGTATTTAACACATTGACGACCGCTTGACACACCATGCGTGTCAAGCAATGACCACCGCGTGGGACCGCTTGACAGACATGGTGTGTCAAGGCTTGAACTTCGTTAAAATGACGACTACTTTGGTACGAACTTATTTTAAAAGTTTTTTTTGCTGCGAATCTTGAAATGACCTCTACCTTCTTTGTCAGCCTTCCAAAGCTACTGTAGGTATACTGTAGATGGCAGTATGCGTGATTTTATCCAAAAAATGCTGACTCGTCCGTAAAAGGTATTGGTCCCAAGAGGCAGACAATCAAAAATTTGCAAAGTCGCTAATGTGTTAAGCATGTTAGGGCCTTAGTTGAGGTACTTGAGGTCTTTTAAAAAATGTGTGAAGTGGATTTTGAGGTTTTGAATGCATGTATGTTCCTAGAATCTAAAAAATTTTACAATTTTTTAAGAAGGTCTAGATTAATAGATGAGCGTCTGGGAGCTAAGGTAAAAGGGTTTAAGAGTTACTAAGTCTCAATTAAGACATATAGAATTTTTTGTAAAATAGTAAAATGGGGGTTTCAACACCCCGGATGATTACGGGCGTTTAGAAAGTTTTCCGTTCCGAAAGGCGTTCGAAAGTTCGAAGGGGGGTGTAGAGGGATTCATAGTGTGAAACAAGTTTTGGAACTAAGTTTCAGTAAGTAGAGCCCTCGAAGGGTTTCTGCATCGAGAATTTGCATAACGTTGTTTGAGTTTTATGATACAGCACCGATGACCGATGTTACTACTTTTGATATGCTTCATTTTTGGATGAAGTGCGAGCTTTACTGCATGTAGTTGAGACGAAATGTGCTTAAAATTTTATTATTTGTTGTTTAATCGCATATTGCAGTAAAAGATTTCAATTCCAACCCGAAGCTTGATATGAGATCAGATGAGGTAGATATGAAAGTGAGATGCAGTTTGGTACACTTATGACACACTAGAGACAGCTATATGATACAAACTGGGAGACTGCTGCATGATACAAACAACGATTCCGTACTGAGGTTGCAAGGTACACGTACTTATTATCCATCTTGCAAGAGATGCATGATTTGTTGATGTGTAAGTTTAGGCTTACGGCGTATCATATTCCACGGCTCTATTGTTGGCAATGGAAAGTGACGAGTAAGTGAACCAACTGCTAGTAGCTTCAAGTGCAACAGCATTCCATCCGTTCTGGCTTCCGCCTGACGTTCCTACAAGCGTAAATAATATACAGAAGTCCTTCGCAAACTATGCATACAATCCAGCATACCACTGCGTAAACTTCGTCGCCTACGACGGCTACGCATCAACCGTAACGATGTTCGCTTTCCTCAAGATGGCGTGCGCCTCACAGGATAACTAGCGGTTGTGGATCATTCCGCTTTTGGTACAGAATAAAAACAACCAATTCCATGCGCTTGAAAGCAGCTTTCGTCGCTATTTGTAGCAGCCAAGGAAGAGCGACCTTTACCAAAAACATGGCAGGGTCCGGAAACACATCCTGAATACATCGATATAATTTTATATCCAACCCTGAGTAAAAGTGCATACTTACACTATTAGTGAAAACGGTAAGCCTGCCTTGCAAATGCAACTCTTGGATCGGCAACGCGCGCTTTCTGTGTCACCAAAAATAGAAGTTCTCCAATGTCGAAAAGCCTTTCATGTAAGCTGAGATCCTCTTCTGAGAGAGACCGCTCAAAATTCCACACTCTTTGGACATGGATGCTTTGTCTTGCCGGTTGTAGAAATGAAGACGAAGCTGCGTGGATTAGAGTGCATACAAAAATTATTAATGGAATAAAATATATAAATAACGAATAGTCACTTTCTGCTGCAGCCGGATCGCATATGTGACAGATGCACGGAAAATTTTTCGGAGAATTGGGCTTGCTTGGATCTCTTTCCCTTACAGCATAATTCCCAATAGCTGTTCACCGGCCTGTAAAATGTGCCTTGTGCAAAATCTTCAACATGCATGAAATAAATTTGCTTAAAGTTACCTGAATATCGCGACTAGCTATCAAACAATGCGCCCATCGAACTCAGCGTTTACCAAGGTACATGCACTTCATATTTAGGTTGGCGTGCTCAATTGATTGGTTTATGAGCCGCCCAAGCGTTACTGTATATAGCGTTACTTTATACGAGTCGCAGTGAGCAAGTACGATGTAATTGCAATCGCTTCCTTCCACTCCCATCCAATATTTGGCAACTTTGTGGCGTTCTCTTCAGCAAGTCCCTTATTGTAAGGCTTCAAAACGTCTTCCGTCAATCCACGGTAACCACTAAACACAAGCACTAACATTATTATTTAGCTTTTTTACCTCATCATACGCTAAGGTCCTACTTCAAGTGAATTTAAAAGTAGAGGAAAGGATTTCTTACCGATAATCAGCAACAGCCATTCCTTTAGCGATGTCTACCTTAGCGAAAACACCTCGTCCTTTGATCGTAGGCATTTCTCTGACTTCCAGCCATGGAAAGTCCTCAAATATGCTGATAATTACAACAACCGCTTTGATTTTTGAGATACCCACCTGTACAGGCTGTGCATGACATCTATGTATAAAATTGTTTAGCTGCCAAACGTTCTCGACTTTTGTCAATCCACCCGTATAAGATGTAATATTGAGAAGCTGTAAATGCCGGCTCGGATCCATGGGCCCAAACCGCTTTTCAAGATCGGCAAGTAAGCTAGCGTGAACAGCTGATTTACTGACGACATGCACTCTTCTACGTACAGCCATTGTTATCGAGTCACTCAATACGAGTTCTGCATTTGCTGCGCAAGCTTCTGATTTCTGTCTTTTGAAATGAAAATTCAGCTTACAACCTCGAATTTTTTCGACTGCTTCCTGTTCATCGACAATGTCAGTATGTTGTACTGACGTTCCATCAACACTACTGCTGCCTATCGGATGTTGCTCAAACTGTTTGAGTGGTAAAGGCGATGATGTTTGTGACTCGACTGTGACACAAGTGTCTTACCCGCTTTCACCAGGGACGACACTCTCGGGCGTTTTCCTGGCGTCTCCTCAACTTCCGTTCGACGTTGTAATCGTCGTCGAATCATATATGAAGTTTAAAAAATACATATACAGGGTGTCCCAAAAGTAAGTACACACTTTTCAATCGTTAATATCTTTCTTCCCATTATGTCTTTTTCCGCCAGTCAAATACCATTTTGTAGAGCAGGCCTCAACTTAGATTTACAGTATGGAGCGAATCACCGATCGCTCTTCATTACTAAAGGATTACGGTAAGAACTTCCAGCATGTGGAACCATTGTGAAATATGCCAAATGACAAAATTTTTTTCAAAAAATTCTGAAAAAATGTGTACTAAGGTTTTCGCGCACGCTGATTCCACTACACAACTTTCTACGAGTGTTTTCTGCTTTTTTTGACGGTATAATGACATTTCTTACAGATACTGGGAATTCGGTTATTACGGTTTACCTGGGATAACTTTGGAAAGAAGTATCACAGTAAAGTGTAAATTTTATATGCGAAATAAGCGGCTTCCGTTACCACAGTACAAGAGTTTTTGGCTTGTTTGGTTTCATTCCGAGGCAGAATATAGCTTTCATTGGCATAAAATCCTCGTCGAAGTTTCTACAGTAATCCTATAGTAATGAAGAGCGATCGGTAATTCGCTCAACACTGTAAACCTGTTGAAGCCTCCTCTACGAAATGGTGCTTTGATGGCGGAAGAAGACGTTATGGGAAGAGAGATATTAACGATTGAAAATCAAACAATGTTCACAATCAAACAGTGTTCACATTTTTTGGACACCCTGCATATACAGGGTGTCCAAAAAAATGTGAACACTGTTTGATTGTTAATAACTCCCTTGCTTTCATGTCTCTCGCCAAGCCTGAAGTACCATTTTATAGAGCGAGGTTTAACTTAGATATACAGTATGGAGCGAACCGTTGACCGCTCTTCATTACTGTAAGAACACGGTAGGAACTTCGACGAGGATTTTAGGCCGTGGGGGGGCCATATTCTGCCCCGGAACAAAATCAAAGGAGCCAAAAACTTCTATACTATGGTAATGGAAGGCGCTGATTTCGAATATGAATTTTTCACTTTACTGTGATGCTTCTTCCAAGGTTATCCTAGGTAAACCATAATAACTTAATTCTCAGCATCTGTCAGAAACGTGACCACACCGTCAAAAAAGCTGAAAACACTCGTACAAAGTTGTCTAATGGAATCAGCGTGCACAAAAACCCTACTACACGATTTTTCAGATTTTTGAAAAAAACTTTTGTCAAACGGCGTATTTCACAATAGCACATGCTAGAAGTTCATATCGTAATCTTACAGTAACGAACAGCGATCGGTGACTCGCTCCATACTACAAATCTAAGTTGAACCTCGCTCCACAGAATGGTGCCGCAAGCTCGACGAAAGACGTGAAAGCAACGGAGTTATTAACGATCAAATAGTGTTCACATTTTTTGGGACACTCTGTGTATATTTGTATAGTTTTTGCAAAGCTTTATGCAGCTGCGTGTGATAAAAATGTATAGAAAAGTACCAGAACGAGAAAAAGAACTGGCACTGTCGTTTCCGTCATTTCCTTCATTTTCGTCGTCTCCATCATCCTCTTCTTCCTCGTCCTCATCACCTTCTTCTCCTCTTCCCTCTTCGCTCACACTTTTGTCGACTGGTATCTCATCGTAGTCATCCATTTCTAAATCCTCTTCTACTTGATCGGCTACGTGTTCACGTCGTTCCAAAGTGAATTAAATTGATCAACACAGTGTGATAATAACGAACAGCTTGTAAAATTGTTTACTTTGCAAGCATGGACATCCTTTTCACTTCCCGCACTCGTTCGAGGTTCCTGGCCGCTTCCTCCTCTCCTAATAAGCGCATTTTTATATATCCATAAGCGCAACTTTTTTTGTTTTGTGTAACGTAGTCTGCTGCCTGCATCTCTTGTGTGTGACCTATTGCACCTATTTCATTGAATGCAATGCAGCTTGTGCTAGCAAAGCGCAACTTTCACATACCTGCCATGTTTTCACAGTCTTTATCTGATCCTAGCAATTTGTCGAAATTTTGTTGAAAAGCTTCATCGTATTGCAGTCTGCTATAGCGTGCCTTGACTTAAACACATAATAATTCAAACTTTAAGGCGGCAATCGTTCAAAAAACGTACCACGTTACAAGAGAGATTTAATTCTCCAAATCATTATATGCGGGACAGTCACTTGGTGAACGCGTTTTCCTTCATACTGGAGGAAAAAGGGAGCAAGTGGTCTTTCATTCCTTGGAGCTTAATCTTCGCAAACACACTATATTATGCAAAACTTTGATAATAAAAAAAACGCATGGCTTATGTCTTACAAACGCAATTTTGTATAGTACGTCAGCCATTTTTTCGACTTTGCATCTAGCACGAGATATTAACCATAATATGGTTCCTTATATTGTGCAGCCTTAGTTCCACCCTTTGGTACAGGATAGCTGCCAATCTAATATAGCTTTTGACTAGGGATGTAGCAAACAATACAAGCTTCGCTTACCCATAAAATCTCCACCCCATCGCCATAGCGCAATGAAAGAGGTTGCAGCCCTGTATGTTTTGCAGCAGGAATGGCCTCTTCTTGGTCAGACGGATAAACACTACCGTCCATTTTATATATACACTCATTCCTGCTTGTGTTGCAATGAATTATGTAGCACCAGAGTGCTCTAAAATCAATAAACAAGCACCTTGCAAAATAAGTGCCATAAAACAAACCCCATTATATAGTTATACTGGGCTGGTTGCAATACACCCTTTCGCTCAAAACTCTTCATCAACTTTTCGATGCTTTCTTCCACTCCTTTATGTTCAACAACAGCTCTTGCAACACAATAGAGCTCACCATTCTGAATAAATAAGTGAAAAGTGAAAGTGAAAAAGTGAAATACTGTCAGAAATTTACGCAATTCAACCTACCTGTTTTTCGCTGGGTGCAATACCCTGAAATGATGATGCTCGCTTTTCCTCAATATTAAGCTTAGCTATCTAATTTAGACACTTTTTCCTTCCACATTCCAAAATCTCAAGACGTTCAGGGCCTGCTCCTGAAAGCGGTATATTTGTGTGAAAAACCGATTACGAAATGCTCTAAGATTTAATTATATAGAATGCAATCACTCACTTGCTTTAAGCTCTTGCTCGACAAACTTACTGAACGCAATAAGAGCTTTGATTATGCTTTTCCGACAACCCACACTGACTCCTTCTGCCTTCAAACGCCTCATATACGCTTCTACAATTTCGCATGAATAGATCGCGTCGTCGATTGTTGCTGTTTCGTTTATTCTGTAATTCAAAAGCTACAAGATTTTCAATTGTAGTGTAGCACATGACATACCGTTGTCGCGCCCTCATAGCTACAAGCGTAAGTCGATTTATACAGGAGATGTAGCCCCGAGTTCCATTCTTCAGTGGATTGCCTTTTCTCGCAGATGTATCAGGCTAAACAGCAGTTGGAGTAAACATGTTAAACGGTGTTTACGTCGCGGAAACACATAGAATCTTGAGACCTTACCAGCTCTTAAGAAATGCACTCTTCAAATTCTTTCAACAGTGAATGCGCCCTTCCATTCAGTTTACGACAGTATTTTATTCCAGCATCCACATTCCCTTGCCATTCTTTGATGTTGAAATACGATGATAAAATGGTTATTGCAAGTATATTATGACTGAGTCACTGCTTACTGTGCTTGTGCTTTACTGGAAGAGTATATTCTTCTACGTAATAATTTGGTGCTTGTTCATCCAACTCAGAAGAAAACATAAGATCGAGATTAGGCGGAGCCTTGAACACTTCTGCCACTTGAGATCCACCTATGTTGCAAATAATTATAAATGTGGCTAATTACGTTTTCATTAATAGCTTTAACACGTTCATACCTGTGAAGCTCTTGTCGCCAAAACATGTGTATAGTCGGTGCCTTTGTGGTGTAGGTGTAAACGCCTCCAAAGCTGTTGCTTGTGAAGTGGACAGCCCCACTTCAATTTGCTCCTCTAGGACTGGTGCGGCTTCCTCAACAACTACCGGGCTACTCTCTTCTTCTAGCTCACGTTCTTCTTCTGTAGGAGCCTGAGTAATGTTTAAATTTGTCCTTTATGTTGCCTTCACCATCCGTATCTCAATTTGATGAGAATGAGGAGAGTATGAGCGTAGAGACAAGGGTTTGAAAATTGACAATTCTTTGGGTTTTTTTAACTGAAGTAATTTCAAACTTTTTTCATGGGAATGCGAGATAATCAAAAACGCATCAACTATTGCATAGATCATTGATAGATTAAATGGCTTATCCTAATGGCACTTATGACGAAACCGCATTCATTAATAAGTTGATATAGTTTCGAATCTACTTGTTTATAGAACCTACTCTGAAGCGTTCTTCCAATCCTTGGATCTCCACGTTCATTTCGGCACGAGTCACATAACTGTCTCGGCTGATCTGACCTTTATATTCCTGAAATTAAAGGCCTTAGTTAATTATTCAATTGCTTGAGTATCACATTAATGCATCAAACCAACTTACCCCTACAATGAGTATGCCAAAATTTTTGATCTGCCGTGTAAGATCGCGATAGATGCACATCTCCGTATGTCGCCGGCTTACGTACAAGCCTCAGATCTATTCGTGCTATACCCATGTACTGAGTGATACCGCGTCCCAGCTGCTCGACAATCTGCATTTTGAAATAAATCTTGCTCTATGATCAATGCGAACTTTGTAGTGAACGTATTATTGCCATGAAGCGTGGATGAACTGACCTTGAAATTTATCAAATCCTTTTGAAGAACGTCCCTATGTGCTCTTAGTAGATGTTCACTGATGCGATATTCTCCGTGTTTTCCACAAACGACACAAAAGTGGGCGGCTTCGCTCGTATATTTTCAATAGAACATTTCTATAATTATGTATTATTACATCGTTTAAAAAATGCTTGACAATTGAGGCAACTGACCTTCAGGCATATGCTCCGGATAAAATCTTATATATAAAGCTGAATGTCTGTTTGTATGTCTGTCTGTATGTCTGTATGTATGTACGTATGTTCCGAATAGAAAATTCCATTTCTGAACCGATCGGGACCAAACTAGGCACACATACACTTCGGGCCCCGGCGGGTGTCATAGGCTACTTTTCGTATCGATCGATTCGATTTTATCGATTTTTTGCAAAATTTGAGCTACGGGGCTGGGAGTTGGCACAGGGGGGTAAGTGAGCATGGGGATTCCGAATACAATATTAATTTTTTAAATCGTGCATTACTTTTATCGATTTTATCGATTTTTTTGCAAAGTTTGAGCTACGGGGCTGGGGTTTGACACAGCGGGGTAATCGAGCATGCTGATCACCCCCGTGGGGGTGATCAGCATGCTCGATTACACCCCCCTGCTAAATTCCAGCCCCTTAGCTCAAATTTTGCAAAAAAAATCGATAAAATCGATAAAAGTAATGCAAGGTTTCGAAAACTAATATTGTGTTCGTAATCAGCATGCTCGATTACCCCCCTGTGCCAAATCCCAGCCCCCTAGCTCAAATTTTGCAAAAAATCGATAAAATCGACATCAATCGATAACGAAAAGTGGACTGTGACACCCGCCGGGGCACGAAGTGTATGTGTGCCAAGTTTGGTTTGGATCGGTTAAGAAATGGAATTTTCTATTCGGAACATACGGCGGAGCCGGGTATGCCAGCTAGTTTGATAATATGTTCTGCCTAGTCTTCCAAGATTTTCTCTTGCTGCATGCCAATTCTAACAATTTTGTCATATTTTTTCGTTCTTCGGATACGCTCAGCCATATTCTGGTATCTTGGTAGAGAATTCGTCAAACTGCACGTTCTATAACTTTTGAATAGTATGAATTGAAAAACAATCACAAATGCGCTTGTAATTAGACATTTGAGAGGATGAAAATATATGAAAGTGTTTATAACACTATGACATCGTACATGGAAGATTTTTACTTCCTCTATTTTCTAGAAACTATGCATCTTTATTCATTATGCGATCGAGATTAAATGGGAACAATTTCGATAGGCTCCCTTCGAACTTTTCTGAGCGATTCGACGCTTCGTGTCCATCGCCTAAGCGATCTCAACTGACGTTGTTCATTGAATATAATCAAAGACAATAGTCCGAACATCAAACAGCCAAAAAATCGATCAATGCAAAAATTCCATGCATAGTATTCCTTGTAGCCATGAGGCCTGGAGATGTAGCCGTCATAGCTTTCAACATATGGCTCTAACGAAGAGTTTGATGACTAAAACCACTAATAATGAATGCAATCTCCATAAGTGATCTTCACTTACCGGTAGTTTAATATTCAGTTCTAAAGTCATGTTCCCTGTTGCAACTCGTGCCGTCACTTCTATCGGCCCTAATTGAAGTAGTGCCCCGTTTGGTATCTCTACAACAGTGACAGGTTGAAGGACTACAAGTTCGATCCATTTGCTTTCATCCGTTTTCTTGTACAGCATCTCTTCCTGGTAGCTATCACTGTGGTCCTTAACAGTGGCTCCACATGTGTAAACTAAGATGTTTGTATAGCGTATAAAAAGTCAAAAGTTACTGTTCAAAAGCTCTACCATTTCATCGCTAGAGTTCCGTTTTGATACAGCACAGCCATGTCGTTTGTTACGGTCTAAAGCGCATGACTCACTTTGTAGTCTTGTCTTACAAAGGAGTGTCGACGATATTCCGGTGCAATCAGCATCGATATCTCCCACTTCTGCCAGCATACTAACATTGCTGACTTTCATCGACAATGGCACGATATAATATGTGCTCAATTCATGAGTCGCATACATTGCACCATTTTCACCAAACTTTCCTAGGGTTACTACGCACATCAAATATCCCAGATCTTCTTCTCTTGTATTAGGTTGTCCGGAAATTAATGCCCGTTTTGAATTTCAACCGCAATAAGTCATACACTCTTCATTTCTAAATATATTGCAAAGTACCATTCGATAGAGCAAAGCAAGCTCTAAAGATGGCCGTCTTGCTTTTGCAACAGCTCTCATCCATCTCGAGTTTCGAGCCAAAAACTAAAAATACTCAGCAGTCCGAAAAATCGAAAAAAATCGTAACTCAGTTCATAAAAAACCTACAAAAATTCTAACTTGTTCACGCAAACACTATCCACATAAGACATCAATATACGCCGTTGCCGTATTTTTTTCTCTGTTAGAAACCAAGAAAACGGAAATTTTCATGCATTTGCCAAAGTGATGTTGTGCCGTCCCCACATAGGTAGTTGTATACCACAAGCCTGTAGAAGTACAGACTTGAATTTCCAGCTCTCTACAAGCTTTAGTTCTCGAGAAATACCGAATATAGCTTTCCCTAGTTAGGTGGTCCAAGCAAAAATTCAAATTTTTCGAGAACTAAAGCTTGTAGAGAGCTGAAAATTTAAGTCTGTGCTTCTACAGGCTTGTGGTATACAATTACCTATGTGGGGACGGCACAGCATCACTTTGGCAAATGCATGAAAATTTCCGTTTTCTTGGTTTCTAACAGAGAAAAAAATACGGCAACGGCGTATATTGATGTCTTATGTGGATAGTGTTTGCGTGAACAAGTTAGAATTTTTGTAGGTTTTTTATGAACTGAGTTACGGTTTTTTTCGATTTTTCGGGCTGCTGAGTCTTTTTAGTTTTTGGCTCAAAACTCGAGGTGGATGAGAGCTGTTGCAAAAGCAAAAGGCCATCTTGTAGAGCTTGCTTTGCTCTATCGAATGGTACTTTGCAATATATTTAGAAATGAAGTGTATGACTTATTGCGGTTGAAATTCAAAACGGGCATTAATTTCCGGACAACCTAATAGTTGGGTAGCAGATCTAAAAATGTGCGCTCAATATTTCGTTTTCACATAAGTTTGACGATTACTACTTGCCTTTACTACCATTACGTGCTTGTTCATAGAAAGTACAGTGGCTTTCAAGCTTTGGCCAGCAGCAAAGTATCTCTTCTTAAACATTGACGCGTTGAAATGTTTTTCACCCATAAGCTTTGCGATGGCGGACAGTAAGTTGTTTTCACCGTGATGTTCGATAAGTCGGTTCGAGACACTGCCACGATCGAATAAATAGTTCTGTGAGAGCACTCTCCACAGCCAAATTGAGCTGGGTCCTGACATGGGAGAACACGAAGTTGAACCGATTTCTAGAGAATAATGGCTATATAATGATTTCTACCTTGCATACATTTGATGATATACGTTCGTGAATATATAAAACTTCTTATTCAATTTCGACTTACATACTGGTCTGCAATTTCAATATCTCTGCCAAATTGTGTAACTTTGTTCTAATCGCTAGAAAATTCTCTGCTATTCTCTGAAAATATGCATTTGACTAGAGTAGCAAGAAAATAAATAAGCAGATAACGTACACTTTGTTGCTGTTCCTCCTCTGTAAGTCTGTGCAATAGGCTTGACACACTATCATACACGAATTTTCCTAATCCAATGCCTACTCCAAAGGCAATGACTCCGATGACGGGGAAAAACTCTAATTGCTCTGAGCTAAAATTTGGAAAATGTTTGTGTTCAAGCATAGATTTTTTTCAAGTAACTGACTTGTAATGCGGCGTAGTACTCCTATTCGTAGTACTCGTATAACTCGCGCATCTCTTGAATATGCTGTTTCAATGCTTGTTGCCTTAAGGTCGTGTAAACCTATATAAACGATAAGTTTCAACATTTGAAATTACCGTCAACACGTTTAGAACATTTTAACAGCACTTTTACCTTGGCACGTAAATCTCGATCTAGAGTGCTGTTGTCGTTCAAGGTTTCCTTGAACATTTTCAGCAATTCGTCAAATATTCTTCCATCTTTGTAGCTTCCATAACCTATGTGCGACAGCATTTAATATATCTACATAAGGATACAAAATTAAGATGTATAATTGTTTGTAATATGCGTGTTTCGGAATAAGGCACTTTGTTGCGCTCTTTATTTCCAACCAGATTAGTTTCCCGGACTTTTTGTCAGCGTAAGCTACGACCGTTCAGGAAGACGGCCGCTTTTACCCATTTCACGAATTCTTGCATTTTGTCTCGTCACGTCATAGATTAACGCACAGTGGCAGGTCAACAATGTATCTGAGAAATAACAAAGTGCAAAAATGTGGTGCCCAGTCCAATCTCAAATCATACTATAGTGAATATAAAAATGACAATCACCCTTTGGTAAAATCCTACAGTAAGCGTTTCATGATAATAATCTTTTTGAAGCAACATAAATGAACTTCTCAGCATAACTGTTGGTAGGCATACCTGATAACACAGGGCCACAGTGCTAGTGTCACATTCCCGCTCATGTTTAGCTGCGGATCCCTCTATTTCTCCATGAAATCCATCTTCGTGAAACCTCTTTTGAGTGGCTCCGTCAAAATAAGGTAGTCCTGTAGTTGATGAGGTGGCAAGTTATACGGGACGAACAGCATCGACGAGAAGTGCGAAGATGATAAATGTTGTTGAGTTAAGAGAAAACATTTGTTATCTGAAAACAATCGTGTAAAAGTAAAGTAGACATAAAGGAGTCCTGTAAGAGATTTACAGTAGAATAAAATGCATCAAAATATACGAAGAAATCAGCATATGCAATAGGTATAGGTGATACTTTGTGGAATTCCAGTTCGCGCACGACTTGTTACAATCAAAGATATCAAAAGAAACGATGAACGAGGTGTTGCGAAAAACAAGGTTTGAACGACATACGCGCGACACGACTGACGCAAAATCACGGAGATAATGTCTGCTATTAAACTGCTTCAAATTTTGTAACTGCAAGAGTACCTATACGTCGCACTGAAAAGCCAGATGGAGCATAGTCCACGAGAAGCACAGCCTACTACATCTTTTACAGTGGCTGTCAACAACGCGATTGGTTTCAATGCTGATCACCGGCAATGTTACTACGCACCAATTCGCGTACTTACCGCAGTGGTATTCATATGGTACTACAAACGGTGATATAAAAAAGATTTATAAAAAAATTCCGCAGACTAGCCATACATACGAATGAATTCCATATTAGACTTTCTTTTGTGTCAGTACGTATCAAAATCCTAGACTTATGCTTTTGTGGAAAATACAGCTTTCTAACTCAATATGGAGAAAAACGAAAAGGACATGAATGGGCTAAATTTTGCCGACGAATCCAATAGTACCCTTGGCTTTTCGCCATCTTTACTCCATAATCGACGTTTCGCCCCATATTCACAATGGGCCTCAGACTCAGCCGATAAGGCTGGCCCTTTTTGTGTAGTGTTTAAATCTTACACTGTTTGTGTAGTCAAAATTTGAGCGCCGCAGCTTTCCAAGAACTCGAGATATAAAAAAGAAAAGAATTTATAGGATTGCAAATCCGGATTTTTGGGTCGGTGGTATGGAGTGAACCGATGGGGTCCAAGATGTGGGTAGTAAGCAGTCAGCATGGTAGTATGCCTGCAAAATTTGAGCCCTCTAGCTTTATTTTGAACCGAGTTATGAGTTCGCCAAGTTTCGTGCAATATATTGTACTGTCGCGTGAATATGATAAGTACCAAAACGCCGATCACGCTTTTTTGTGGAAATACAGCTTTCTAACTCAATATGGAGAAAAACGAAAAGGACATGTATGAGTTAAATTTTGCCGACGAATTCAATGGTAAACCCTTGGCTTTTCGCCATCTTTACTCCATAAACGACGTTTTGCCCCATATTCACCATGGGCCTCAGACTCAGCCGACAAGGCTGGCCCTTTTTGTGTAGTGTTTATGTCTTACACTGTTTGTGTAGTCAAAATTTGAGTGCCGCAGCTCTCGAAGAACTCGAGATATAAAAAAGACAAGATATAGGGTTAAAAATCCCAGATTTTTATTTCGGGGGTATGGAGTGAGCTGATATTGTCCAAAATTGTGGCTAGTATGTATTTGGCATTATAGCGTGCCTGCAAAACTCCAACCTTCTAGCTTTATTTCGAGCCGGGTTATGAGTTCGCTAGTATCCACTGGAGACAATGGGCTGACAAATGCTGAGAATTTTTGATTTTTGGTCAAGTGAGCGAATTTCAGTGCCACTCTCCAGTCTTCAGCTGCTTTTTGTCGAATATTCGAATATGTTGTAGTTTTGACGAAGGTAATCGAACCAATCTGTACTCTTTCGACTCTTCCGCTGTCTCTTCATAAAACGCACTTTACGGTAAGTATAAATAGCCACATAGCGTAGTTGAAAAATAAGCTTGTCCATAGTATCATATCACATTAAGAAGCTTAGTGTGAGCCGCATGCGTCATGCAAATGTGCACATAAATTGTTTGGGTGACAAGGAAAAGCTGGTAAGTTTCGGTACTTGATCAAAGCCACATGTTGATGAATAAAGCTGGTAATCGTATGAACAACTTATGAGCAAGTTCGTCCCCAACTACTTTTTCATTTTTGATTGGCTTGATCCCAACTAAGCTCAATAGTCAATCTCAAAATGTCGTAATTTGCACAAATACGGGCATTTTCAAAAATCAGCAACTCAGCAAAATCACACGCTAGAAGGGCCAACTTGGAAAACAATGGTAATGTTTTGGATGTAGAATACAAAATATGGTAACTGAGCCTGAGCCAGGCTGATTTTAGCCTACAATTCGCAGCCAAAATGTCGTAATTTTGCATAGATAGAGGCAATTTCAAAAAACCGCAACTCAGCAAGATCACATGCTAGAAGGGCCAAGTTGGAATATAATGATAATATTTTGAATGTAGAATACAAAATATGGTAATTGAGCCTGAGCCAGGCTGATTTTAGCCTACAATTCGCAGCCAGAATGTCGTAATTTTGCATAGAAACAGGCATTTTCAAAAATCTGTAACTCAGCAAGATCACATGCTAGAAGGACCAACTTGGAAAACAATGGTAATGTTTTGGATGTAAAATAAAAATATGACAACTGGGCCTGAGCCAGGCTGATTTTAGCCTACAGTTCGCAGCCAAAATGTCGTAATTTTGCATAGATAGAGGCAATTTCAAAAAACCGCAACTCAGCAAGATCACATGCTAGAAGGGCCAAGTTGGAATATAATGATAATATTTTGAATGTAGAATACAAAATATGGTAATTGAGCCTGAGCCAGGCTGATTTTAGCCTACAATTCGCAGCCAGAATGTCGTAATTTTGCATAGAAACAGGCATTTTCAAAAATCTGTAACTCAGCAAGATCACACGCTAGAAGGGCCAAATTGGAAAACAATGGTATTATTTTGGATGTAAAATAAAAATATGACAACTGGGCCTGAGCCAGGCTGATTTTAGCCTACAGTTCGCAGCCAAAATGTCGTAATTTTGCATAGATAGAGGCAATTTCAAAAAACCGCAACTCAGCAAGATCACATGCTAGAAGGGCCAAGTTGGAATATAATGATAATATTTTGGATGTAGAATACAAAATATGGTAATTGAGCCTGAGCCAGGCTGATTTTAGCCTACAATTCGCAGCCAGAATGTCGTAATTTTGCATAGAAACAGGCATTTTCAAAAATCTGTAACTCAGCAAGATCACATGCTAGAAGGACCAACTTGGAAAACAATGGTAATGTTTTGGATGTAAAATAAAAATATGACAACTGGGCCTGAGCCAGGCTGATTTTAGCCTACAGTTCGCAGCCAAAATGTCGTAATTTTGCATAGATAGAGGCAATTTCAAAAAACCGCAACTCAGCAAGATCACATGCTAGAAGGGCCAAGTTGGAATATAATGATAATATTTTGAATGTAGAATACAAAATATGGTAATTGAGCCTGAGCCAGGCTGATTTTAGCCTACAATTCGCAGCCAGAATGTCGTAATTTTGCATAGAAACAGGCATTTTCAAAAATCTGTAACTCAGCAAGATCACACGCTAGAAGGGCCAAATTGGAAAACAATGGTATTATTTTGGATGTAGAATAGAATTTCCACTTCTATAAATTTGTTGTTTGGTCAGCAATTGCAACTTCATAGTTTAAAGAGTAAATGGTGCTCTTTCAGATAGTGAAGGAATCGAGTTGATTTGAGAGATAGTCGTCGAAAACCAGATTTCTAAAGATTTACGCCATTTTTGCGTGTTTTTTGACAGCTGTCAGTTAAACTCATATAAATTTTGAATGTGAAAGTGCGTGATGTTGCGACTTCATAGTTTTGTAGAGTAAGGTTTGCCTTATCAGAGCATATCTTAACCGTACCAATCCATTAAACAGCGCCGAGATCCAAAGTCTTAAAAAGCAGGTAAAAAAGCGCTTTTTGAATTTCAACGCCCATAACTTCTTAAGAACTGCATGAATCATGTTGCGACTTCATAGATTAGATTCTTCTCATCAAGAGCTTTCAGATGATATATAATATGTGGGGGTTTAGGATCTCCTATGAATTATGCCCGGGGGAGGAGACTTTTCATCACAAAGTCTCCCGTGGCGGCCTCCCTCCGATACATTAAAGTGGATTAGGGGGAGACTTTGGTATGAAAAGTCTCCCCCCAGGGCATAATTCGTAGGAGGCCCTAAACCCCATCATATTATATATCATCTGAAGTCAAGTCTGCGTCTCCGCGCGCTGCGCGCTACCTCGCTACCCCAAACGCGGGGCGCGGGGCATTTGGCTCTGGTACCCTTTTCTTCGCTGTTTCGAACCAAATTTTAGCGAGCTATGTATCATTTTGAAGCTCTTGATCTCTATTTTCACGCTGACAACGTCCCAGAACCACATTTTTTGATTTGATCGAGAAATCCGGCAAAAACCTTGTTTTCGAAAATGTCTTGTTTGTCTCCTAGTTTAACTATTTTCACGCGGTTTTTTCGTGCATTCTATAAATCTTGCTTCTTTTCATAATGCAGACAACCACCCAGCCGTTAACTCTTCCATTATGGTGGGATTTTTTGCGAAAAATCGTAAAAAGTGCGTTTTTCTTTACCTTACTCTGTTTCAGTGCTTTCGAATCGATTTTTTTTCACCTTGGGCGATTATTGCTCAGAACAATGAGCGCAACAATTCAGACAACGCCAGGAAACAGGAACGTCAATGCGGGGGTAAAAATTCAAAGGACGCATCAAAAATTAAAACCCGGTGTTGCGAATTGCTGGTCTTGAAGCGAAAACTTGCACGTTGAAAAGCCGCCAAATGAACGATTTCAGACTTGTTTGCAGCGTTTTTATCCGGTTTTCGGCAGTTCCTTTGCTTTTTGTATCTGTTTTACGTCATATTCTCTTCTCTGAACTCCTTTAAACAACCTTCACTATTTATGACGTCATATGTTCAAACAACCTTCACTTTTGACGCCCTGTCTCTAGACTATCGAAGGTATGACCACACCATTTACTCTTCAAAACCTATGAAGTCGCAATTGCTGACCAAACAACAGATTTATAAAAGTGGAAATTTCGCATAACTGATCGTTATTTTACCATTCGAAATTCTGGTTCTCGGCGATTACTGCCTGGATCGACCTAATTCCTTCCAGTACGTTATATGCCGCCGTATACATAAAAATATGCTCTCAATAATATTTTTTGCGTTTGTTTTGCTTATTTTTCTTCTTTATCGTTCAGCGAAAAATATTCTTTTTGTCAAAAGTGAAGGTGGTCACCCTGTACCAGCTCAAAAGTGCAGGTAGGGGGAGAATCGGCTCCCACTATCGCACCTCTGCCTTCACCTGCTATTGTTTACCATAAGTGAGCATAGAGGTTACCCGCGAACTGGCGAGCTTGCCATACACAAAACATAGCATAAAAGGCCCTATTGCACAGTTCTGGTGTTGTTTCAATCATCACCACTTCATGAGCGCTTCGCACAATCACTATTGCTGTGGGCTTCTTTCGCTTCTCTTATGAGCAGTTTTCAGTACAAACTAGGTTTACCCAAAACTTTCAATCTGAAGCTGATGTGCAGCGAAGCCCGCCAGCGTTGAAGACGCAGTCATTACCGGAGTATGACGATATATGTACGATATGTGTTCGTTGAGGGAACGGAATGCCTCAGGTGCAGCCTCTACAAACTAATGGTCGTGCTATTGCGATATGATGCCAGGATAACAGCTCGCCAAAGCATTCATTCCTTTGCAAGACAGTCGAGAGGCGCCATTTTTTCATCTTCCACAACCCAAAACTCAGTTCATATGCGAGCCTTGAAAAACTACCAAACAGATGCATTGGCTGGTAGATGTATGAAGTTACCATTTGCTGACTCATGCGGGTTTGCTGGGAAACCAACCAATATATTTGCGAACTTGTTGATAGTTGCATCTTCACGGACTCTAGACCTTCAAAATTTTCATTCATTCAAAATAATATATGTCATCCACTTCCTCTACCCTGTGTACTCTATAACTAGTATAACTGAAGGTGGGGGGGGGGAGGGGGAAGGGTTCAAGGACGGAGGCGGGATTTGGAATACTAGAGCCGATTTCAAGCTTTGTAAACCGTTTCTCCAACTTCACTGATTAGTAGTTTAGAGGTCTACCGTTGCAACGCTAAAATCCACTACTTCAGCAGGGATGCTTAAAGTTTCTTCTATTTATTTTGAAAATCCCAACGTTGCAAATTCAGAGAGCGTGACCGCTAAGCACCATTTCAAGAGTAGCTCGTGAATTTGGGAGAAACCTTTGAAAAAATGAAACGTGTGGCTGACGCCACTCTTTGTTCGGAATGTCTGCCCTTCGTCCAAAATTCCCCGAGCCTTCCTTCACCAGGGCGAAGGACACGCAGAAAGGTACGCTTAAAAGCAACATCTACCCAGATTCAGTTCCATGTTTCTGTCGCTCCGGGGCCTTCTCATGTCCCTGATTCCGAATATGAAGATGCGGAAACCCCGCGATTGTCGGGGTTTTCGGAAAAGCATTTAGGAGGGCGAGTACGGATGGGTGGGTCAAAAGTACGCCTACGCCTACCGATCGGAGGCGTCGGAGCAGCTCCCTGTCTTTAGGCTCATCCAAAGCGATTCTCTCGCTTCAGAATGCATCTTTTTCAATCGGACTTGGACTGTTGCGTTAGTCAGGGGCCGTGCTCTCGCACTGCGTCAAGACAGAGAAGTCGAGAATCTGGGTGGACGAACGGTACCTCCTCAGTCAAAGTTCAGTGGTAAACTTCCCGATGCAGTGAGCCTGATAATCTAACGTCGAAGTGACCCGCTTTTTAAAAATCATCTCAAGGATATGTACATAACTAATCATATAATCAAATGAGATCTATGCATCAGAACGGCGCCATAATTTCGTCATCATTGCGCTTCGAAAGCACATTGGCAAAGTATATACTGTAGAAATCCATTGGTTGGGGGATAGCCATCTTCTGACGATCAATCTGAGAGAAATGAGATGTAAACAGAAGCCTAACTTTTTTCTCACCTCATCAAGAATTTGCAAAGGTGAGCCGGCTTCTTTTAGGGCTATTCGGGCATCAGCGCAACCATTCATCAACTGTAGAATCCATACCTCACGAAGACTGCAGACAGTATCTTTGTATTGCTAAAGATACAAAATCTCCTTACCTTTTCATAGATGATAGTGCAAGCAGGCTTTGCCCTGTCACTTTTGGGCAACCACGAACATCCAGAAGTTCGAGTGTTGAGCAGTTTTTTACAAGACTATGTATGCCTTCATCCGATACCATCGTAAAAGCAATAAATAGTTGGACCAAGCTGAAAGAGAAATGATAAGCCCTCAAAAGCCAGCGTTCTGGAAAGGATTTACCTTTTCAAAAATGAAAGCGATTCCAACACGAAATCGTTGAGATATTTGATTTCGGACAGGTTCAATATCTGTAGATTTACAAGAAAATTAGGAATCTGTATGAGATCATCGTTTGATATCCCATTGCAGTGACGCACCTCAAGCTTCGTCAGATTCTGGAGAATGTGTGATTTTAAGGAAGTTTGCAAAAGAAATCAATGGATTCATACCTTCTTCTGGAAGATAAAGTGAAAACTCCTAGAGTTGCTCGACAGGTTATGTACATAATCAAGGCAGAATTCACGCAAGTTTGGCAGAGTTTCTGGATGCGCAAGGTCATCCATAGCGCAATAACCGATGATTGAACCATTCAAGCATAAATGCTCCAAGCTACAATGATCCTTTATAGACACTATAAACAAATTCAAAGCGCAAAAAGAAAAACATTATGTAACCCAACCTTAAATCACGAGAATTAGAACTCACGTTTTTGGCATGCATTTCAATGCGATATTGCAAATATTGGCATTCCGTATTGTAAGGGAACGCAATCGCTGCATTTTCTTTCCCATTAACGTTAGAACGTGATTCGTTAATGCAGATTGTGAGTAGGTATTTGCGGAACGTACGATATAGCCTTCAATACTGAAAATAAATTCCACAGAATGATTATAATATGAAACGAAAAACCGATAAACGGATAGAACCAAAATTGCAAGCATTGATTGACACAAACCTTAGACTAACAACTTTCAATGCTAAAGGTGACTTTATGAAAGCAGCCAATTGTCGCAGGTTTAGTCGATAGTCGCCCAAGAATTCAGCGTGCCGCCATAGTAGATCTTGGCGACTGACTCGATACCATCTGCGTGAGATCCTAAACTTGTCGAAAGCTGAGAATCCAACATTTATGACTGAGAATATTCTACTGGAACGCAAGTGCGAAATCCTCTGCGCACTAACTGTCATGTTCTCTTTTTCGATTTACACCGCTATTATCATAATCGTTTAAATGTCATCTGCTTCAACGACGTGCGACCTTAAAGGCATCGTCCACCCAAAATGGGGTCGATGAGATTTTGATGCATAACTGTATAGGGGCCTCCAACTGTATGCTTATCCAACTCGCGCTGGCAAAAGTTGCTTCCGAAGTGAGAAAATTGCTTCGAAAATCGCTCGGATGACAGATTCGCCACGTTGGCTCCTCCCATTTGAGTGGGCGTGACCGCCCCGCCCATCCGTGCGCCACCGTTTCGAAGAAATCGCTCTGCTGGTTTTGAAAACGGGCGTTTTCGTGGTTTTCTCTGATTTCTGACTTGATATTCGGATTCAGGGGTATGAGAAGGCCCTATAACGGCAAATACAAGGAGGTCGAAATTTTGGGTGGACGGTGCCTTTAAGCTATTACCAGCCCCCCCCCCTTCCTCCTCCTAATGGTTTTACTAGACTTCCTTTGTCCTGCAAGAGAGCAGAGAACTAATCAAGCACACTTTAATGCTGGCGATGCCAATGGGTGAGATTTTTTGAGGAGGGAGCGATAAAAGTGAGACGGGAGCACTTTCTACGTCCTCCCAAGGAACTTTTGCGAGCTTGTGACTCGAAATTTGTAAAATAGAAAGTCTGGAAGTTCCAACAATATTATTCTAAAAACAAAAGCAACTCTACCATACAACTTCTAACCATTTCGTAACCCGTTTTCAGAGCCCCTCCTTTTCCTCCTCTATCCGCCACTGTATGCTACTTATTCCTGGTCCTTATTAATCTGCTATTTATTTTTAGTGCAAGCCAACAACAATATCTACATTTTTTCCTAAATACATTGAAGTTATAGTTCTTTGCAAGTAAATCACTACAGGGGAAGCAGAGTCTGGGACGTATCGGCGTCTCTCTTATACAGCGCTCTTTCCTTACTCTTACCATCTGTTGTGTACGCACGACCTATATATCTTGGCTGGACGCAAAGGCGCCGAGTTTCTGCGCGTCATGAAACGTGTGTAAATTTGAACATATTCCATAAGTCGTAGCAAGAAATGATGAATCAAAGAATAAAAACTCACACACCACAAGTTGCGATATGTACAAGACTACCCAAGTTGTGTAGAATTTTCAAAATGATATGCTCAGGCAAAGTGTCGAGATTGACCATGCCTAAGTTCTTTTCATTTCAAACAGCAACTCAAACAAAGTTTCGAAAAGGGCGGACTAAACCTAGGAAGAAAAAATAACCATAAACATGTAACGGTTCATAAACTCGTATGAAACATACGCTCATCTGAACAATAAGTAGTTATGCATTCAAGATTATATCTAACAACAGACAAGCTAACTAAAAATGTACAAGAAAAATATGAAAGACTTCAAAAAGGCTCCTAAGATACATACAATATTCAGATGCAAGCTACCGGTTCTGTAAGGCAAATCAGCATATCGAAAAGACTAGCAAGGACCGAGCATATGCGAAATGCAAATTATTATGATGGAATTATAAAAACTGACAGTTTTGGAACATCATAAGATTCGAGGCAGTAGGAATGTTAAGTTCTCACGTTGAAGTAATCTGTTATGGCAAGAGTAGGCTTCTGCCTAGTCTTTCTAAATAAGTATTTCTTTTCCTGATCTAGACAGCTATCACATCTGAAACCCATTTCCATGGAGAACATTCTCAGTTGAACAGCTACTGGAACAAAGTGAAGACGTCATTAATGCTAGCTTTTCTTCTCACGCCATTCTTCAGGGGCACTGCCAACGTCCACATAGAGGTGGTAGTACAGCGGACGTATGCTGATCTGTATAGAAAACATTTAAAAAGAGAAATTGATAGGAAGATACGATAAACTCACTTTCCGCACGGTCCATTTGTCAGTTTCATTCAAACCATCATATGCGACACGTTTCTCGGCGATATCCAGTAATTTATAACTAAAATACCTCCGTTTCTTGTTGGTACGAGCAATGATTGTAAAGAGACTAACATTAACTTCGGTGCTGTTCGCTTCCTTTTTACATGTTTCAGCATGGAATATCGACCCGTGTCAGAATCCGGTCGTTCAATAGTGTAGTTCAAAGAGAGGATACGCTTACCTGAACATCAATTTTTTGTCGACTTCTAACTTCAGATATAGATATGTGTCAAATGTTTGTATGAACATGTAAATCGCGACTCATTGGTGCACTCTCTGATGATTTTGCAAGATTAGACATGGCAAGCAGGTGTGGTTGAAGTCAGAAGTTTACCGAGATGCTGATCACGATTATGCTTATTTATTCTATTGATTTATTATAGGCAAGCTGAGCGCATACCGGCTGGGCAAAATCACAAGATGCCTGAGACCCGCCGCAGTCTGACATGTGTGACACAAATGCCGATGGTATTGGCGCAAGTAAACATATGGCATTTATTATATCAGCGCTGGTGAGACAAAACTTGAAGACATTTCTCAGTAGAAACCACAAACTCTATTCTATACTGTGATTCCACAAAAAATATGATTGCATGAGATATTCAGCTCAAATAAGGATTCCCTACGCAATTCAAAAATATGCAACTCAGAAGTGAGCTCAAAAGATCCGCAGTGATTTACTTACAAGATAGAAACTTTGTGCGAATTATTGAAAGAGAACACAAGTTCGCAATGACAGGAATTTACGCAATTATTTTTAGCTCACCTTAAGATACATTAGGTTCAAAAGGTAGAAGGGACCTAGAAAGATTCTCCTTGACGGATGCGGTACGAATTTGCCAACGCAAAGAACAAATGTAAACACATGAAAAATTCCTGCGCACTTACCCATATCATCATCTTCACCTCCCCAAGCCCAATACATGTTGGAGTAGCCATTGATCATTCGGTAATCTTCCATCGATACCGCCAAGACTCCACCAACAATTTCTTTGTACCAAAGTCTAGAAAGTTAGCTTGAGCATATGCACGGAAAGAAACTCTTGAAAAAGATTGGGAATGAGGTGAATTTTGGAAAAGTTTAGCATGATGCAGAGTACACAAATCAAAAATGTTCAAAGTTTAAATAAGCGATAACAATAAGAATCAAAACTTACTGGTAACCCAAATTACTAACAAATGCTCCCATATGTCGAGGAGAAGTGGGACAAGAGTATGGATTTCGGTCATCTTGAGGGAACATATCGACATCGTGGAAGATGACGCAATCAACATTCAGAGTTTCCGCAAAGCGGAAAGCCGCGTTCATAATACGGCCTTTGTTGAACAGGTCATTGCCATACTGCAAACGCATAGATAAAAAACGAACTTATCGTTCATGGTGTAACCCTTATTGAAGTGCTTCAGTCAATACTGAGACTAACCTGCTCGGTGACAATGAACCTAAAGTCCAAACGTTGTCTCTGTAAGACAGGTATGAGGAAATCAAGCAGCCTTGTGAGATGACTCTGGCGGTCGCGAAACGGTATGATTATGGCTACTCTATATCGTGCCTAAAACACTGCACTGGTTTTCAAAACACTGCAATGGTTCAAAATGGTTCAATGAAGTTAATAGAAAGAGAGACGAAATAAGAGAAAAACCACTAAATTATTGCAAGATTGGAAAAAAATGATTTTGTTCAGATTTTGGCGAACTATTTCATGGGCAACCGGAATAATTCTAAAATTCACAAGAACGACACGTAGTACATTCTTGAGGCAACTGAAGTCTTCAGCGGCAATGACATGAAATTGTAAGATTAACGCACTTTTTCACAGAAGAAACAAACCAACAACAAATAAGAGAAAACCAGACTAATTACCTTACAATCTGCCGGACTCCATTCCCCACCAGGTTTCACCTCAGGATGAGCAGCGGCAACATCGGCCTCTTGCAAGTTTTCTATCAACAATACTGCTTGAGGCAATGATCCCCGCAGATCAGGAACTAGGATCGGATCTGGGCATACACCACCAGGATTTCTAAATCGTAACTACGAATTGCGTATGGCATTTTTTAAATTTACATGAACTGAAAAAAATTCAATTTTACCTAAACAGCGCTAACAAAGAACTTACAATGTGAATGTAGTCTTCGGTGTCTGTTTTTGTTCCAAAGAGTCTATATTATTCAAAAAATTCAACGTTTGTCGAGCATTTTCCAGCTCCTTCGGATCAGGTTCATCCAAAGGGTGCAGAGGCCTGAACAGAATAATGCAAATATAAAGCAAATCATGCTTCTGCTTGTCATGGAGATTGTGTTGTCTACACTCGAGTTGATCAATGTTTTCGCGATATATTGCATACAACAGTTACCCGCAAATTCCAAGAGCGCGATATTCATAAATCATCCTAGCATGGCTGACCTATTAAAGAAATACATCAATCTTAACACCTACTCCTGCACGCAAACCGTGAATGCGAGAAGAAATTGAGCAAGTTACCAAAAATAACGATCATATGACTGAAAACATGGAGATTAGATGTCTACATGATTAACCGCGACATCTGATGTATACAGAAGTGCAAGGACAGCGTTCAACTATCACGTGATCAACGATTATATTATAAGCCTATCATACGGCTCATCTCCATTGCTCCATCTCCCTGTATTGATACGATAACCCCAGGGCTTGAAGCTTATACCAAGATTAATTACCGCTTAAGGGTTCTTAGCTTTCTGACCTCAAATATGGTACTGATAATGGCTGTTTTACGGCCTTCAATCTCTTTCTGCAGTTACCCAGCAGACGCGAGAATGAGCATGACCCGCTATTAGAGCACAAATCTCAAAAAAAGATTTACACTGACACAGATTTTCACATGTATCATTGATACAACATCGCCGCAAACCTGTTTCCAATGGAAACGATAGCATTGGCTATAAAAACAATCCACACGTGAACACCTTTTTTCTTTGTGCATCATGAAAAATTGGCACAACTTTCGTTAGTTAAGACAAATTACAATCTAATTCCATTCCGATAAACATGTATTCACTGCACAATAACACTTTACTGTGTTGGAAACTTACAAAAAGGTGTTGCATAATCTTATCAAGGCTTAGCTATCAAGAAATGAAAGACGTAGGAAAAACTACCTTACGACATTTGCTTTCACTTCGACCGCATGATGAATAGACGTCCTGACGAAAGGTTTATGACTGCAAAAAGCTTATTCGATCGTTGATCACAGATCTTTTTGCAAGATGATGGAAGTCCATCTTTAGCTAATTGTTAAAAGTAAACGGCGACTATGCAATTGAGAAAAAATTTCAATAAAGTCAGTGACAAATTTCGTTAAAAAAGTTTACCAGCATCATTGCTACGTGATAAATCAATACACATAAGATATGATGAAACAATAGAAAATTTACGACTGTTATAAAATCTAAGAAAAAAAACATACAGCAAACCAACCTGCTTGCAGTGTATTTCAGCAGCATAAGGTATACAGTGGAAAACGCAACTACCAGAAACACCAAATGTTTTGGGGAGAAGTTTCGGCAAATACAGTAACATTTTCGTAACATTCTTGAAAAGCGTAGACCACTCCGTGATGGAGCGCACCAGTACGCCAACAAACCACTTATGAAGTGGAGTGGTATCGACACATTGAAAGCCTAAAATTGTGATGTGGGATACGCACACATACAAAAACGTAATTCTATTTACTTTAGATGAACGAATGTGCCACTGAAAGAAAGAATGACGAGTTTCTATAGGATAAGAAATAGAATGCCACATTTATCTGAGGAAATGTGTCAACACGTCATTAAGAAAACATTATTCGAGACTGGCTCGAAAGAGCCAATCCCAATCTTTTACAATTCCTTAGACTTTTCATAGCCAATTTCCTGTTTTTTATTTTGCTTGTCTTTACGTTAAAAACTTTTTTTCAAATAAAGTCAGTGACAAATTTCGTTGAAAAAATTTACCATCATCATTGTTTTTTAACATATTTGATAAAATCAATACAAATAAGATACATGTAGCAGAAAATTTACGACTGTGAATCTGCGACCACGAAGCTATGAATTATATTCTAGAGAACCAGCTCCCCGAACAATGCGAATTCACAGAGAAAAGAAAAATCGATGAAGGCAAACATTATCATCTATAATGGTGTTACTGGAATTACATCTTATATGCCTCGTATCGATTACAGTCTCTAATGGCATTCAAGGTGCGCACGCGCAGGCGCTCATGAAAATCTCACCGAGCAGGTTTTTCTATGCGACAAGGTGCTTTTGGCCGTCTTTGTTCTCAGCGGAAATAGCTAGCTTACGTCAAGGGTTGCTTGACCAGAAGCAAATCTGAACAAAGGAGGCAGCCCATATAACAATTTGATGGCTAAGGAAATAGCAGTACTGACGAACATTATGGTACATCATCGTAAACTAGGATTATCATTATATTATCGGCTGCTAGATTCGTGTGAAGGCGGGTTGCGGAATTCCCTGATTTTCAGGATAAACTTGTTAAATCTCCAGGTTATAACATTGTATTTCGTACTCTCTCGTTAAGCTAACCTCAAAATCAGGGAAGTCCGTGGTTCGCCTCCACACGAATTTGGGAGTCGATTTTATATCCGTATTCCTAGGGTACATAGACATTACCTCAAAAGGATTATTTTCTATTTGAGAAAATACCATAAAGTGCAGATCACTTTGATCCCAGGTTCTTTGATGGATACGACCAATCAAAAAAATAAACAACCCAAAACATGTGGCTAACACCCGCCCGACTCCATTAATGCCGTAAACATATGGATAGCGGAACGATAGACTGGTTTAGGTCACTGTGAGATCGTTAGAATGAGTTTCAAAAACCGAAAAGGACAACCCTCTCCATTACGTAAGTCTTCTGCTGATAACACGAGCGTTACAATATGATGAAAGGCAAAAATGGGAATGCTCAAACTTGGTCCAAAGGAATGATTCAAAATGTTGATAACGAATATCAGTTCCTTTCGCAAGTTGAATCACGCAAGATACACAACAGAGAGCCGAAAAAATCAATGTAGTAGAAATTTGTCTAGGGAGTTGTTCGAGATGCTAATCATAATTATTATATAATACTTTTTCGGCTCAAAGCCGTCGAGATCCACGAATTTGAAGTTTTGGGGCCCTAATGGAACAGCGCATTACTCAATAAGAGAAGAGAGTAAATGAGAAAGAAGGCCCTTTCTAGTTAATCGATGCATTGTGGCGCAGCATTAGGCAGCTGTAGCCAACTAGAAAAATGAAAAAGTGATAAGATGCGGAGAGAGGAGTAATAAGCAGGCAAGTACAGAGTGACTCAAACTTTCCGTTTTCTCTTGTACTTATGATTTATGTTGAGCTTATCAGTGATTAGAATGGTTACAGTATAATGCGATGCAAAACTTTGCAAAAAAAGTCATAGGAAAACGTTTTATTAGTCCCCATTGTTGCCAATTTCAGTTTTTTACTGCCAGATTAGCATTGAACAATTGATCAAGCCCAATACAATAAACGTAACCACTTTTTCGTATATGCGATCCACAGGAGAGCGAAAAAAAAGAGTAAAAAGAGCACTGACAAATTTGGAGAACCTTGAATCTATTAGCGACCACAGAACGGATGGCTGGTTCAATCTCAAAAGATGCGGATTTGGATGACAATCAGCAGCAAAGTAGCGGAGAACAAGACTTGAAAACCAAAGACGACACCAACATTTCATGTGCAGATGGAACGCTATACAACGATGACAGAAAAAGGAATAATCCCATCTCACAGAAAAAACTCCTAGAACTCGATGCTTAGTTATAGGCCAGATGTCAGTATTCAGTATGATAATTTAGTCAAGCAAAAGAACGAAAGTCACAAAACTATAGCACAGATCAAAAATGGCACAAAAAGACTTGCAGCATTCGAACACATCACTGGTGAAGGGACACGCGCGCTTTCACGCAGAAGATCCTGCAGTGAAGGAAGTGGAACTCGTCCAACTCCTGCGACGACAGAAATTTTTCGGAGAGTATAAAAATCTTGTACTCTTCATGAAAACTAGGTTTTTATGACTTCTTGGGGCAACAAAAAATACAAGCATCTCGGTAAAGCTTAGATCTGTGAATTTCCTTATAGCGGTCTTCTGATTTAAAGTGGTTCGATTTTATTGGTTTAATATTAAACATATGTTTCACTCTATATATTTTTGATGCACTTTATATGTTTTGTTTATCAACATCGCTGAGAATCTAAGCCAGTAGCAAGAAGGATTTAGCGAAAATTTCCTTGCTAGATCCCTCTTGCTGTTGGCTTCATCATCATGGAATCCGCTTTCGACCAAAAATAAAAGTTTTGCATTTTGCTGGATCGTATAGGCGGGTAACACCCACCGCAAAGAATTATTCCTGCGAAAGCAGTACGCAATTCATGATGAGTTTACTAATTATCCCGTGCGGGACAACTGCCGGATTTCGTTCTGACTCCCATACCGTAACCCCACTGAGATGCTACCGTAGCAGACGAATATGTTCGTAATCAGCTGTCAAATAATCTCCCTATACAAAGTTTCAGCAACTTCTAAGGTTTTCGATCTTGGTGTCGCTATGCTGGAATAGCCCTCTTCATTCCCGTTGCTTTCGAAAAGATTTGCTTTTCAGCTATCACGCTGTACTCCAGTTGATGGCATGGTTTAGCAATGAAGAACATTGTGAGTGACCTTGCTGTGAAGCGATCTATTGAAGCTCTTTATACTGGTGGAACAATAGAATGGAGTGCTGATGGTAGCACACTGTATTCGACTTGTACAAATGTAATCAAAGTGATTAATCTGGACGAAAATCTGTCCTGGTTGGTTTATCCATTAGCACATGCCAGGAGCCTTAAAGTTCTATTTTGTCTTTCAGTTACACTATTGGGGACCCCGAAGAAAGTCTACGGATAACTTGCATCTCCTTAGATAAGAATCGCTCTCGATTACTTGTGGCCTACACCAATTATGTGGTAAGTTTCGATAATTCAAGCTCATTCAGGAAAATGATTGGTTAATCTTCACTAATTGCTAGTTGGTTTGTAATTCTGGCCCGCATGCTTTCAAATTCTGTGGCATTGTGAATGTGTGTTTGAGGGATTGGTGGTTGTTTTTCTTTTCCCAATCTATCTTTAATGTCTCAGTTTCTTATATTGTGACTTGTAGATTCGTGAATTTTCTCTTGATGGTTCGAATGCTGTGGCTCGGATGTGGAAAACGATGCACACTGCACCAATTTTATCCATGAAATTCAACCAAGATGGAACCCTTCTAGCAACCGGCTCAGCGGATCACTCTGTAAAGGTGACATTATCTGCAAGACGCGGCTCTTTTTTGACACTGTAGATTTGATTGGGTTCAGGTATGGGATATGGTACAGCAGCATTGTATTCATACTTTGAAAGGACATAGTGTGGTTTCTGCGTTGGCTTTTATACAAAACAGTCGCCTCATGGCTGGATACGTTGAGGGACAAATCTGCATGTTTGACTTGGTCAAAGGCGCTATTCATAAGTTGCTAAGGGAATGGAAAACCCATAGCAGGTAAGCAATTCTTGAAGAAGCAATTTTTCAAACGACTCATTTCTTCGAATCTTTGGCACGTGTTTCTTTTGAGACCGCGAAGTAGGTTTTGCCTTGTCCTTGTTTTAACTTCGTCTCAGAGCTCGTACATGCTAAAAATCTGCTTCTATCTGGAAAAGAAGAAGACATGTGCATTGACTAAAACACTCCGAACATCCAGCTCTCTTTGAGTTAAAATAAAATTTGCATTATTGCAAACTCAAGCCTAATATCGAAACCAAGACATTCCGGCAATCTTAACAAAATTCAAGAACGAATATGTGCCGAAATCTGCAGTAAAGTGTCGACGCTCAAATATTGGAACACATCCAAGTGAAGCTTAATCGAGCTCAACCTTTTATAGTCAAATTACGGGATTTGTGGAACTATCCTCTTCTCGTCGTGTTGTCGCTGTTTCGAGAGATCAGACAGCTTCAATTATAGAGGCTGAAACAAGAGAAGTGCTCAAAGTAAGTATCCTTCGTGCAGTCTTAATATATCTAAACAGCACTTTCGAGGATCTCCTTCCAGGTTTTCCCATTGTTTGAAGTCATCGAGTCTGTTGCCCTTGCTCATAACGGTAACCTTGTCACCGTAGGTGAGGAAGGGACAGTAAAAGAGTGGATTGTTGCATCTGGAAATGTGCTCCGCAGAAAGAAGATTGCCGCGTAAGTCTTTTGTATCATCCATTCCTAGTTAAAAAAATCCACGTTTAGAATAGGATTGGATTCTTTGGCTTACAATCCTGTGCGGGACCAGCTGCTGATCACTTCTGCTGAAGAAAATATATACGTCGTTTCTTTTAGTGATCTGTCTATCAAGAGGCAGATTGTCGGATTTCATGATGAGGTGGGTAGTGTTTAACTACTGCGCCTTTTCCCACTCTTTCTCCTTCTTTCACGGGAAGGATTCATCTTGTTTTTAGTCGAGTAAAAAACAATTTTCATCAAAAAGATGTTTTATGAAGGGAAAATCCTTCTCTTTATTCTTGCATGATCATCGGACTATGCCCTACAGGTGTATGCATGCGCTCTACTTGGTAAGGATGAATCTCACTTAGCTGTTGCTTCTAATGCGAGAGAAATCCGTCTGTATGACACCAAGACATGGGATTGTCAACTAGTTGAAGGTCAGTCTGCAGTCTGATTTTTGCATTGTGGTCAATCTCATTTTTTTTCTCAGGACACACTGAAGGTGTTCTACACGTCACAACGGCTAGATTTGATCCTACACTATTGGCTTCATGCAGTAAAGATAATTCGATAATTGTGTGGAAGTTACAAGGTAAGACATTTGAATGTGCATTTGCCTATATGATGAAGTTTTTTTTTCACTCCCCGGCAAAAATCGTTCATACACTTCTGTTTATGGCAATTTCGATTTGCTTTGAATCTTTTTGTTATAGTCTGTTTTTAACTCTCTAGGTCTTATCTTGTCGGTTCACCCTTTACTATTTTAGCTAAACCGAATGCGAGCGCTTCGAGAGTCCAGCTGCAACCAATAGTTCGAGCAACCGGTCACACTAGTTCTGTCAACTCCGTATGCTTCTCCTCATTGGCGAAAAGGCCGTTTTTGGTTTCCGTAGCGTCCGATGCGACCATAAAGCTGTGGTCTCTAGTAGATCTTGATTACGATGTCGAAGCAGGCGTCAATATTGAAGATCTGTAAGTGCATTCTATCGCCGTTCCCAATCTCTTAAGCTTGATCATTAGAGGGAAACTCGCTTGCTCTTCAACGCTAGTGGCACATGCTAAGGATGTGAACTGCGTGGATGTTGCACTCACTGATAGTATCTGTATCACTGGAGGGTAATCATAGCCCTTAGAATGATCGTTCGAGTATCCTGAATGTTCTGTTTAGGATGGACAAGCTGGTAAAATTGTGGCATATCGATACGGCAAAGATGCGATTGGGCATCGCTGGAACGTTGTCTGGGCATCGGAGAGGAGTTGCTGATGCAAGATTCTCTCCGAACTCTTTGGTATGTGATTGGTCATTTAAAACGATAATTTTGCTTTATCACTACATTGTTTTCTCTTCCGTTATTTTTTTCATCTTCTCCAAATTTGCTTTTTTGTCAGTTATGAGAGCTCTTTAGCTTTGATAGGGAAACAATCTTTACTCTCTTGCACTCCTAGTGACTAGCAATCACTTTCACATCATCACTTCATGCGAATGCATTATGTTTCAGAAAGCAGCTTCATCGAGCGGCGATATGACTATCAAAATCTGGTCACTGCAGGACAAAGCTTGCTTGCAGACATTGAGTGGACATAATTCTGCCGTATTCCGGGTGCGTTTTTGATTCTCCTTTACTTCCTCTATGTGTACATGGTAATGTGTGATGCGGTGCTTCCCATGAACTTAATTACTTTTGAAAACGCAAAATTGCTTCAAAAATCTTGAAAGAATGCCATTTATCAAGCGCCTTTATAGCACATATGATTATTTAAAGTTTTGGTGCGGTTGCATCATGCATTCTCTTCAAGATCTTATTTGTGAACCACGGAACTCAGCTTCTGTCAGCAGATAGTGCAGGCATAATGAAAGTGTGGACACTGTCGTCATCAGATGTAGAAACGACGATCGAGGCTCACAACGACAAGGTTGGATTTTTTGGGGAACCATATTTTACTCAAACACTTTACATATCCAGATCTGGACAATTTTGGTGAATCACGATGAGAGCGAATATGTGACTGCTGGTACAGATGGACGAATCATAATGTGGAAAGATGTTTCTGAAGAAAAGAAAATCGAAGAAGAATTGAAAGTCAGGAAACGTAGGGAAGAAGAGCAGGTGTGTTTGTCTATAGATTACGGTAAAACGGACTGCGGAATATAAAAACTGCATGTTTTGTTATTCCATGGGTATTGCAGACTCTAGACAATCTTCTCGAGCAAGGCCGACATCAGGAAGCACTAGAGTTCGCTTTAGGGCTAGTAAGGCCATTCTGTGCTTTGAAGGTTTGTATTTTTTATTATCAGTATAAATTTGTTGTATTTATGTTGTATCTCATGCTCATTTTCAATCGAAAGCTTGTTGGTAGAGTAATCACTAGTTTGATACTGAAGCGCATACTGCACAGGTAATTGAGCGACTGATTGATGGCGACGAGCTCATGACTGCGATCGAAAAACTGGATAAGCAGCGATTACAGACCCTGTTGGATTTTGCCACACAGTGGAACACCAATAGCAGGACGTCTTTGGTATGTACTCGTGGTCGAATATTCTATGCTTAGTAGATTTCAAGGAGTATGAGGAGTTTAATACAAGCTACTATGTAGCCCAAGTTGGTGCAGTAAATCAAAATTCTTCCAGCCAAGTCAATATGTTGTGAACTGCATACTTAAACTCATTCCACCCGATGAGCTGCTGGAGCTTCCCAATATCAGATCGGCTGTCGAGTCACTTATACCTTACACTAAGAGGTTTGTGAGCAAACCTTGGTTTTCTAGTGCTTCTGATTTGCGCATAAGAATTGACGTCATCCGTCATTGCATTTTATCGCTCGAGTAGTGATGTGTTACAGCCTTGATTCGCTGTGTGACAATCACGCATTCTGTTACCCTCGGTCTAGGTCCTTTCACCCTTTTTTACTATATAGTTTTTCAGGCATATGGAGCGGTTGAATAAAGTACGGCAAGACGTGTCATTATTGAACTTTACTTGGAACCAAATGCGTCTAAATTAACGTCCTATTCTACTGTTTCGATTTGCTCATAGAGCAGGCATTCAAATTGTTGACCATTGTTAGTTTGTTAATCTTCCCATATGAAGACTTTATGTTGGTTTTGACCATCGTTATTGTTTTTGTTGAACCTTTTTTTACCTTAATAAAGAAGTATATCTGTGTTGTGTTCTTCACATCTTTACTCGTTTGCCGAGTGGTATTGTCTGTCGAATCATACGATCATGTCATGGATTTTTGTATTACATTACTTTTGCAGGGATGGCGGACGATTTACCAATGGAGGGCGCAGATGACATGCCGGAGTTAATAGACGTTGATCTTCCTGCTCAGTTACCATCTTTGGTCGAACAAAATTTGAAGCAGCTGAAAAGCAATCCGGAAGAGTTCAAAGAATTCAAACTTGTGAGTTGCATCATGTTTCTGAGGAAAAAATTTTGTTTTCTTCTTTCCCATTTTGGCAAGTTCATAGACGTTGTCGTGCATAGCGTCATTCACTGCTGAGTTCATCTGCTAAGACGCTGAAGAGCGTTTCTGACATAAAATCTTAACTGCTGTTTTCTTATCATGAATACACCATCTAAATGGTCATCGCTTGCATATGATCAGACAGCGTGTTGACGATTCTTTTCGTGGGTAGTATCAGGTCGTTCGGATTTTCGCTACATGCAAACTTTGCAGTATCTAATGAATATTCGCCACGGTGAATAAGAGCCTCTGAGGACTAAAAATTCACACTTTGACAGAAAACTGTGCTGCTTGAATACTTGAATGATTCGCGAATAGTTCGCCAATAGTGTCATCTTCTTATCTCACGTTTTTCGTCGTTCATTGCCATTTTTCGTTTTGTTTTTGAAAGGCTGATAGATGCACTAAAAGGTCCTGTAAGCGCTGTTTTTGGCACTCTCTTACCTCTTTCAAAAATCCAGAGTTGCTGTTGTTGTTTTTTTGTTGATTTGTAGATCTCCGTGATGTAATTTAGCTCCTTCTGATTCTTCTATGAGCGATTGAGCAGTTTGATTTGTTACATAATTTGTGCACAGATGTGCGCACATCGTATTTATGTTGAATCTGTTGGGAGGCCGTAATCGAGCCATTATAGCAGCGGCAAGTCATTTGCTTGATTTTCTTGCCAACAAAATTCAACTCTCAACCTTGTCAAACCGTATTTTATATTCAATCGTACTCGTGGGCGCTAAATGTTGCTCGGAAAGATTCGGTCTGATCTGATGATTCGGTTATGCCGAAAGATAGAGCTTTAAACTCTATTTCTCGGCCATAACCGAATTATTTTTGCTGCCGCTTGGGAAGTCGCTTCTTAAGTGTGATAATATGTATTCGTACCAGAAATTTGGGTACCTAAGTTTACTTGAATATTGTTTTTGATTCGTGAAGCTGAATTTTGGCCGATCCCTGTCGTTGAAATAACGAACACAACGTGTTCCAAGCCATAAAACGCGACGCGCAATGTCTGCTCCCTCTCGTAACGTCGCCGTTCGACCCATCGAAAAGAGGCAGAGATGTTTTTGCCACGGCTATCAAACGAACGGGTGGTCCGTTTTTGTCATTTCTAATGGCCTGACGTTGCGTTTTATGGTGCATTTTTTAGCACGACGTTGGTCATTTTGTATAGGGTGAATGCGGCGATTAGCTGGCGAATGTGAATGAATTCAGGCCAGACTTTGAGTATCGTTTGCAACAGTGTGTTAGAAAAAGTGGAAGCAATATGAAGATTATATAACTTTGAACACGGTTGTGAAAGCATAGGAAATGAAAATTTAGGAGGAGAGGGAGTTATTGGTCAAAGGTGAATACTACAATCGAATAGAAGCTATTTGGTCAGTACTTTTGACGCTGAGTTTGCGATTTTGTCAATTTGACCAATTTTTATGCTAATAGATGGTGCTCAGATAATTTTCCAACTTTTTCTTTTGCCTTCTATCTATTCTGCTCATTTTGTTGAGGTTGTGAGCACATACTAGATTGTCGCGAAAGTTTTGTCAGTTTCTTTCATTGCTCACTGAAACTGACAGAACACCAATCCATAGACGGGTTAGGCACCATTTGATTCAGATTTTCATCCTCTCTCTTACAGTTGTACTTGCTCTCTGATCTACCCCGTATTTGCAATGTTATCGCCATGGCTTTTTGAGCAGCTTAGTAGTAACGCCAAATTTCTTCTGAATTTTAGAATTTTTAATTCTGATGTTTTCAAAGAGCGCTGGTAACTGTTATGTAGTCCAAACCTTTGGCTACACTGTGTCCATTTTAGATTACATAAATCGCGTTTGTAAGTCCCTTATAATTATCTATTTGACAAAAACCGCGGCTTTTTGATTGAGTTCAACACTTAAAAGTACCAAAAATTCCAAAAAGCTGCTTTTTCAGAGCGAATCAGAGTTGGTTATGTTGCATAAATGATGCTTAGTAAGAATGTGTTTGAATCTGCAGGAACTCCAAAAGCTTTCGTTGTTTTATGCAGTTGCGTGTTTCATGACTTTGCCAAAAATCGAGACCTCCGGAAAAATAATTTTTTGAAGCTAAAATTAGCAGATTAGGAGAATCTAAAAATACTATCTTGTAGTCCGAGAGTTGCTCTATTTGATCCATACTTAATCCTTTTCGAAACTTTAATGAAATTTTCAACAATTAGCCTAACTTTGAGCAGGTAAAATTGACAGGTGGAGAATTTTGGCAGTTATTAATAAAATCGTACAAGATTATGGTACAAAAATGTATCCATAAGAAAGAGAAGGAAGAGCTGCATCGAATGCATGTTGAAGCTCACTCAGGTCTTTATTGTGCGTGGTTTTACAGTAATTTGAAAAAACCGACAAAACTTCCGGGACAACCTAATATATCATTTGAATGGAGTCTCTTACCAGGGAAGCATCAAACACCCTTGTTTTTTTTTTTTTTTGATATCTTTGACGATCGATCTACATTTATGTGTTCAATGTAGGCAATCTGTTGCGATTGAGCTGTCACATCCTCGCTTAATTAGAATTTTTGAGCTGAGATTCTATTCAGTAGATTTTGGTTAATTATGCTTTTTATCCAAACATATCAGATTGAATACAATACATCGCGCATGATTGATTATGATGTGAACTTTGGATCTTGATATTGATCGTTAAAATCTACTGATTTTGTTGGACATGCAGTTGTCCTAGAATTTCACCATGAGGTGAATTTTGCAAACCCAAAAAAATCATAGTGGATGGGAGCAGAACCTTAGCTAGTAGCGATGATTACTTTACACTGTCAAGAATACTCATTCGTTTCTACAATTTCGAATGTAAAATGAAGTGCTCAAATCTCGCTGTACATTCGGGCTGTTCATCCAAAATATAAAAGAAATCTATTATTATGGCAATATGGTAGTATATTCAGCTGCTAATTTTTGCTATCGCTGACAGGCTTGCTCAAAAAAGATCAACAAAATTCACATTGATGATGGGCCGTCTCAGTGTGACTTTTTGAAACAGCATCAAATTTTTATCGTGCAAAATCTGGCATTACTTCAAGTAACATCGGGTAATGCTAAGTCGAATATACACAGTTTTCCCCCACCACTTCTTATCCTTTTCTAGGAAAAATGTCACACCCAAAACTGCTATATTTGTCTCTTTTTCATGGGGTGTCAGTCGAACTTGGTCGAAAAATTATGTTGTTCAAGAGATGGCACTTTAATGTTGCCTTTGCGAGCGGTTTCCAGTTTCGTATCTCACTAGGTGGTCTTGCCGGTTTCCGTTGCACGTGTTTTTCTACGGGGGGCGGGTGATGGAGCTCGCAGCGAGGCCCCCCATATTGTTGCATCAATCTTGTGTTTTTTCGGCCCGAAACTCTTTGATGTTTCCGATTTTGATGTGTTTTACAAAAACGCACATTTGCCAGTTTGAAATCGGGACTAACGAGGAGAGACGGTGGGCGACGCATAGCACACTCGCGCTGCTTCGAGGACAAATCATAGCTTAGTGCGCGTTTGACCTCTCCTATTTGTGCGGAAAATGGAAATTTGCGGAAACGTGTAGGTAAGCTCAGGGATGGAAGTTTGGATCGAGCACTTGGCTAGGCTTTGTGGTCCCCAACGGAAGCAGTTTGTTCATACAGCTCACTTTTCCAGCCTCATGAGAATGAAAACGGATTTCTAAGCGCCAATTTCTACGAATAACTCGAGCTTTCTGCTCCAATAATACTACGGTGGTGCGATGCACAATCTACTGCTCTCTCGCGCCTTTCCTTTCGGAAATTTTTCTGAAAGTGACAGCGAGTCCTAGAATCATGTAGATATTGTTTTGATTTGAAGATGGAATAAACGTAGAAAAAGGTTGGGGATCCATAAGCCAGCAAAAATGACGAGGTGTCAAGAAGAATTTTGCAGAGCGCGGCCATATCCTTTCCACTTGGTTGAGATGGTTTTGGCTTCCCCTTCCCCCTCCTACCTCCCTGAGTATCAGTAGCGTGAAATCAGTGTTGATTATTCTAATGATAGCTTAGCTTTTGATCACCATTTGCTTACCAACTTCCTCAAATCTGTATGTACTAGATTGGCTGTGTCAAGAGCATACATATGCAGCAGTGGCGGCCCCCTCCCCCCAGAATGGATCGTGAAAATTTTAAAATTTACTTATATGGGTTATTAAAATGTGCAAGTGATTTGTTTATTCTTGTAAGTAATTACAACAATAATTTTCAAAAATTTTCTGAAATTCAAACTAGCCTTGTAAAAAGATTTTTTGGGGTGTGGCTACCGCCACGCCCCCTTTTTTTCGATTTTATGGATCATGGGCCCGCGAAAATTTTGAGAAGCACTCCAAAAACTTTTTCAGGGTGCATGGCTAACTTCACGCACTTCCATTTGAAAAAATTTTTTGCGCTCCCTTCTCCTCGAACGCAAATCCTGGGACCGTCATTTATATGCAGCAATAACATTTTAGAAAGTCCCCGTCAGAAAGGGCAGGTACCTTATCTCGAAGCAACAAGTAGCTTTCTAAAAGATTACCGACTTTGATTTTATTCGTTAAAGGAGAGTCTCATTTGTAATCAGAACCGATATCGCAAATTTAGATGTTCCGGTACTACCCTTTTAACGGATTTTAGGATGTGCTAGTAGATTTAGAGACATCGTCCAGTCAAATTCGAGGCCGCTGTGGTTATGAGGATATGTGATAGCCGGTGACCTTTTTAGTCTTTCCGCAAAAATGACTTTCCGAAACGAGAAAATCGCTTTAGAAGATATATGGTAGGGCAGAATTCGATACACCCATCATCGTGGATTGTTTGAATTCAATGAGCTCGAAACCGAGCTCTAGGGTGTTTGAAAGTGATGAAAATTTTTGATCTGATCGTGATAGCGGAACGCTGGACACTTCTTGATGTTTTGGAGTTCAGTCGCCTCATTGTCAGCTCCTCAAACCACGTATTTCTTTGGTGATTGTGTCGACCTCTGCTGCTTACCTTCTATTGCAATGTTTAAGGCTCGGCATCCAAATTTCGGGACTGAGTAGCAGAGACCTCGCTGGTGTCGTATGAAAATCCTACCAACCGCAGATTTGGGTGGACGCTGCTTTTGAAGGCAGTGGCTCGGGAAAATTGCAGCTGCGGGTTATTCATACTCATATGGCCTTGTGGATCCGCTGATTCTGGAACTGTGCTTGAAAAGTAACGAAAGTGTTTTTGGCGTTTTTCGTTCTTGGAGGTTGCTGTAGGGGCTGGGCGAGCGATTCACGCCAAAAACAGCGACTGGCTGCAGGAAACTGTAACTCCACCCATTTCGGAGGCAATTGGCTGATCGGCTCAGGCAGCCAATCGCGACTCAGTTGGATCGCTCGCCCATCTCCTTTACCAAGCATGGAAAACGCCATCAAAAGAACTTTTTTGATTCCAAGCATAGCCCTGAACTCAGCGCATCCAGAAGGCAAAAGGATGGAAAGCTCGCAATTGCAGTTTTCTTAAGACAAACAGTTTTGATTCCTCATATATCATCCATGTAAACCATTTGGCGCATACACGTTAAATCAGTTACCCAAGGAGCATTGCTATGGTTCTCATAGATTTCTTCTGATAGGGGGGGGGGGGGTAGGTGTAAAAATTTTTAACACCTTTGAGAAGATTTTTGGAATCTTCCTTTATTGAAATTATGAAAACCAATTTTTTTTGCAAATTCTGGAAACAGGTTCCTCTGTTATATACCTCACGCACTTGCAAATATTCTTAACCTTCGGAGGAGGGGACGCTGAAAGAGAGGGGATTGAATAATTGGTATACGGTTTTTGTATGAAAGAAAGTCTAGCAGAAATTGCTTCAAAGTTCTCAATTTTGCAACCCTGCCGAGTGTTCTCTGCCGTTTTCCCCTGTCATATTGCACTGCGACATCGCAGAGATGTTGCAGCATCGTGATTCCCCCTTTATTGCCTTCTAAGTTTTTCCACGGTGTGGGGTCCATCGATGTTTATTGCCCGAAAAAGACACGTTGAGCGCTCATGGAAAAAGTCCGCCGCGGAATGAGCGGCTGCTTGCGTTCTAGCAGCATCGCTCGTTTGAGCCAGCCAGTCAGCCAGCGCCTAGTGTGAAACGTTTGCGTCTTCGTCGTTCGACAGCAGAAACAGTGTGAATTATGACTATGGCTGGAAGTTGCCACCTGGCCATAGAAATTAATGTGAAGAAGGTGCGTGCCAGTTTGTCCACGTCTCCCAATCGTACAGCCGTGAATGTGGTGATGAACGCTGATAAGCGTTTGTTACTGTAATATGCAAGGTGTGTAGTTGAGTGGAATTGCAGGAACACCTTCCATTCAAATCTGAGGTTGGTGAGGTTCTGGTGCAGTCAAGCGAGGCCCCTAAATAAGTAACCAAGTCCCGCTGCGAGAGATGCATTCTGAAAGGAGAAAATCTCCCTAGAATGTGGATGTTGCTGGGGTCGCCACGCCCACTAGCGTGAGTGGTGTAAAGGTAATGAGCCAGAAACTGGACTTGGTAGTAGAATTGTTAAAAACATGTCCATCATGTGTAAACACATTTCCACATCTAAGTATTCTGGTCTAGTTTCGATCCATCACTTTTAAACCACCCACGTTGATGGGCGTGGCGACCCCAGTAGCAGTCTTCTTCTAAAGCAGTTTTCACACTTGGGCACACACCTTTTGTAGCGGGACTTGGGCAGTTACCTAGTTAGGGGCCTCGCTACTATGCTGCATCAAAATCTCACCAGTCCTCTTTTGGGGTGACCGTGCCTTTAACCGTCGAATCTGATAGGCTATAAAGAATTCTTTTCCCTCCCACGTTTCCCAACATATCCTTGCCATTTATGTAATCTTTCCCAAGGGTGCCGTATGGCCACGATTTTCAGTTCAGGAAATTGTTCAAACACAGGCGTTCTGAGTCGATTTATGAGCACGCGATTCAGCGCGTTTGACAATGAACGAATGGCCTGCGCTGTCTTTGCGTTTTTTTTTTCGTTTTCGGCTATGATTCCCTTCAGCTGGTAGCGAAATAGTGCTTTGGAATGAGAAACGTAGTTTTTGAATAGTGCCATCATGCAGCCGTCAGCTAGCATAGTATTGTGACGGGTACACTGTTGAATTTGGCGTTTTTGTACGCGATTACACATCTGTGGGGGACGCAAAGTATGCGATCTGTATTTTCTAGAATGATACTTCTTTGAGAAATAAATGTGAAATAAGGGCATTTTTGAGACGCAAATCTGTTTGTTTTATATTATAAGGAGGTAAAAGTGGAACTGAACACATTAAACAGCATTTCGCTTATTTATTGAACACTTGAACATCTTTGGATGTCCTTACACAGTAACATTTATTGTAGAATGCAATCAATAATTCAGAAATGAAATTAATCTTTTTTAAAAATAGCTATTGGAAGCGGGCTTTGTACTTGCTATCCCTTTATGTTCAACTTTTCTTGGGACATCATCTTGTTATTCGAAAGCTGTATTTAATTTTAATGGGCAGTGGAGTTTGAGGATCTTCTATATTTTAGGTTGAAAAGTACTTGGGTAAAGGGGTAAGGGTGTTTGGAAACTTCTAAAGCCATTGCTAAGTCATTGCCCACAGCAGCTCATCCGTGGTCAATCAAATTCTTAATTCTTAACCGTCTACGAGCGGACCAATCACTGTGCTCGAGTACGGTAATTGGTGAGAATCTAGACGCTGGATCTTTCGGCCACTTATAGTTTTTTATGAGCTGCTGCATAAGCAACGTAGTTGGAGCTTCTATCCAATAGAAGCCCTGGCAGCGGCAAACCAAACGCCCCTCCCCCTATACTCCTCAAGAATGGGCCGGAAAATTTTTGGAAGGTACTAGTGGCTTATAAAAATATGCAAGTGACTTGTTTATACCTGTAAATATTTGAGCCAATTTTCAAACTTCTCTAAAATCCGAATGAGCCTTGTAAGAAAAATTTTTTTTGCGTAAGCATCATACAGAGTGTCCCAAAAAGATGTGCACACTGTTTGATTGTTAATAACTCTCTTGCTTTCATGTCTTTTGCCGAGCTTGAGGTACCATTCTATAGTGCGAGGTTCAACTTAAATTTTCAGTATGGGGCGAACCACCAATCCTTCTTCATTACTTTAATTTGTGTAGCAAGGTTTTCAGGTGTGCTGATCTCACTACATAACTTTCCACTCGAGCTTTCTTTGGCGTAATCACATTTTTGACGAACATTAGAAAAACGGTTGTTACCCTAAAATAACTCATGAAAGATGCACTATACTGAATCGCAATTTTCATATCTAGAATCAACGACTTCGATTAATCCATTTCAAGAGTCTTTCTGAGGCAAAATACCGCTCTTAGGCTTAAAATCCTCCTCGAAATTCCTACCGTAATCCTACGGTAATAAAGAGCGACTGATAATTCGCTTCATACTGCAAATCTAAATTGAACCTCGCACTGAAGAATGGCACCTCAAGCTCGGCAAGAGACATGAAAGCGAGAGGTTATTAACGATCAAACAGTGTGCACATCTTTTTGGGACACCCTGTATTAGTAACCGCAGTCAAATCCTTTGTCACAATTTTATGAATGGCCTACATATAAGGCATACTTGGTCTTAAACTTAGATGCATCATCTCTGACTGTCTCATAATTGCTAAAAGCTATGCTGAATCATAACCATATGTTTTTGAAGAATCATCTCATTTTTCAAAATCTTCACATATGTTTGCTTCTAACTGCTGAGCCTCAAACATGTGTTATAGATCTTTTCAGACATCATAGACCTCACACAAAGTCATTTGTATCAAAGCCCTAGTCATTTGTAACGTACAATTCACACCTTTTTTTTCGCAAAATTACAACGTCCTTGCAGGTCTCAAAAAGAAAACGAAAGAACACTGTGAAAGATGTTGAGATGGAAGAAGCTGGTAGTGCTGAGGCTACAGACACTAATCATAACGCTGAGGAACACCAGCATCGCGTAAAGAAATCAAAAGGAGAGAAAGGAGAAATGCGAAAGGTTCAGTTTTTCATCTCTTCAGCTGTTAATTTATTTTCATTGTAAGTTAATTGTGCGAAAACATAGCATTGATTCAGATCCCTGTGCCAAAGCATCGATATACACCATTGAAGGATAATTGGGTCAATATTTTTACACCAATAGTTAAGAATTTGGGCTTACAAATAAGGTAACTTGCTGTTGCTAGGAGTCTGATTGAAGAGAACTTAAATTTTCAGGTTTAATATGAAGACGAGAAATGTGGAAATCAGAAACCCAGAAGATAAGGAAGATACGACAGATTTGCAAAAGGTTGGAAATAAATACTTGAAGGCAATGTCCAAATTTGGGTCCAGTTTCTCTTGCGAGTTATTTGCGAGATCTTGACTAAGCCATTACCTGACCGGTAAATCATATAATTCATTCGTGACCGGGAAATCAAACTTCAAACTCTCGTCCAATGGCGTACTTTCCCCCTCGGCCCAGTCCATGATTACGGTACTGGGCGAAAGTTTAGAGTTGAATTTCTCGGTCACGCATGAATGTTATGAGCTGCTGTTTGGGCAATTGTTCTTACTCAACTCCCACTAATTTCTCACCTAAGAAAGTTACCCAGATTTGCCCATACACTGTCTTAATCTCGTTTTTTGCAGCTCTACAATGCACATTCCAGGCTGCAGATTTTGTTCGTGCGTTTATACTTGGATTTGATGTTGCTGATGCTCTTGCACTGATCCGCCTCGATCATCTTTTCTTGGAGACTTTTGAAGTTTGTGAATCTTTACGTAAATCTGCTGAAAGCGCTTTAACCCCGTTTAGGTGGCAGATGTAAAATCATCCTTGAAAGGCGATAACCTTAGTCGTGCTGTTGGTCGAATAGCAGGAAAAGATGGACGTACTAAACTTGTTATAGAAAATGTTACTAAAACGAGGATAGGTGAGTTTGTATGGTAGAGTAGACTTTTTATTATTTGGAATTGCAGTTGAGTAGCATGGATATATCCACATAGTTTATTTTATCCCATTTTATTTTAATTAACATACGTCATATTTCCAATAAGTCATCTTCCAGTGCTTGCCGATACAAAAATACATTTGCTGGGAGCTTACCAAAATCTTAAACTTGCTCGAAATGCCATCTCCAGCCTAATCTTAGGTAAGTTTCTTGTTTCTCAAGGTTCATTCACTCTGAAATCCCTCTATAATTGGTTATTTTACCCGCTTTCGTTTCGACAATTGGTTCACTTATCATTCATTTCCCTTGCGAATCAATTTCAGTATGAAAAGTTTTGCGCTTGGGAATGGTCGATACTTTTTTTTCAGGTGCACCACCATCAAAAGTCTATGGGAATCTGCGTAATTTAGCATCTCGTTCCAGCGAACGACTATAAATTTCCACTCGCGGCCCTGACGCATTTGCTTCGTTCCGTCGTGCGTTTTTTTGGTCTTCTTTGTTCGTTGTTTCTTGTTGAGAGCTGTGTTCATATACGATACTTACACATATATTGTGTTGGAAAATGATTTTGTTATTGTTTTTGAAGTCATGAGAGTTTTGACATTTGGAAATTGAAAATTAATGTTCGACACAATTTTATTGCAAAATAGATTATGAACATTGATGGTTTTTTACATCACACTATCAAACTACTGAAAATGACACCGGTGCGGGCGAGAACAGCACATGTAACATGGTCAAGATCGATTATCGATTCGATATCGATCGATCAATACACATAATGGGGAATGAACTTGAGAAATTCAGAGGAGGAGAGAATTTCAACAAAACCAGCAATAGGGTTAACAATTTAGCGACGAGCGTCGATCGTCGTATGCCGTATAAAATGGGATTGCATCCCACCCGAATGATAATTATGTGGACATAGTCCAAGGACAAATATGGTAAATAGTAAATAGTAAACAAGTGCTTCAAAAAAGTGTGTGCCTACCTGAATAGAGCGCCACCACCGACAGTTTCGCGCGCGGCCTTAAGCAACAACACCTGCTTATATAAGTGATTTCACAAGTGTATTGGCTTGGGACGGTGTTGGTACAGTATCCCTATACAGTATCCCTACCGTACATACCGTATATCAAACCAAAAAATGTATGACACAAGAGAGGGAGCAGTGTTTGCGTTGTGCTAGCAATGACGTGAATAACATAAGCGGTACTTTACACCTGGAAAAAGCGATTTCGGAACAATTTTGCCGAGTTAATGAGGATTTTGTGCTAGCTGCGTGAACATTTGAAAAAGTGGCAATGGAAGAAGGAAGGGGTTTGGAACCGGTGCTAAGACAGGAGTCTGTGGAAGAACTATCGGTAGAGCGGGAAGTTGTGGAGGTGTAAGAGGAGCCGGTGCACATGGATAGACGGGCACTGGATGTGGTAACTCGATACGAGGTGATGGAGAGACTTCAGCCGACGAGGGTTCTGAAAATGTTATCTGAAGCTAACATTGAAAAATTTTGACAATCCCTCAACCCACTAAAAGTTTATTTTCTCCAGATGTTGAATTCAAAAATCAAACTAGATGTTGTCTGCAAGAGATTCCGCCAATGGCGTGGAGCAAAGCTAATCAGTGAACAGTACCTCTCCCGTACCTCTACCGTAAACCGTGTGATTATTCTACATTCACGTCACTTGTATAGTAAATGTGCGACGATACTAAACTTGCAGAGTGACAGTAACTTTGATGAGCGGATATAGTTTGAGACTAGTAACTACTGCAGTATTTCTACCGTACCTATACCCTGATTAGGACCAAAAGATTGATACTAAAAGGCTTCTAGAAAAACTACCAAAATATTCTGAAGTCATAGTTTTGTCATAAATCAAGAGAAGACTGATCGAATTTCAAAAATCGAACAGCAGAGTACCTCTATAGTACCCAACCTTTGATTCAGCTGGCTTGGCGGCTGGAAGGCGGGGCTTTGTGACCTAATTAAGGCCGCCCGCGACGCAATCTATGTCTCTTCCGCGCACTTGCTCTCTGATCATTACCTACTCCTAACTAGGTCACGAAGCCCCGCCTTTCAGCCGCCAAGCCAGTTGAATCAAAGGGTATGCTATGCTCCAGACTAAAAGGCCGAGTATGACAAAAGAAAATCATTTAGAGGCTTTTGAGGGACAAGACAAATTTTTCATATTCGTGTGCGAAGTTTAAATTTTTCGGACTGGAGTTAAAGGCAAGCAAAATTCGAAGAACTCCATGATACAGTATCTTGACCGTAATTGTACCATAACTTATGTCAGAGGATTTGGAAGCAGAGGAGAAAGCCTTCTGAAGTTATTTTCCAGACGAATTGCCACCACTAAAATTCCACAATCGTAAAAAAATTTTCAATTTTTTCTCCTCTGTTTTTCCACAGCCTTTGGTCTGGATTACGGTATAGGTACGGTGAAGGTACTGCAGTTTAATCAAGAGCTGAGATAATGCAAATGCGCATATTTTTACAGACTACAAAACTAGGTAGTACCATTTTTGTGGTATTTTTGTGTCCCTCCGTTACTGTTTCTTCAACCTTTGGGTCTGAATCACGGGGGTAAGGACTATATGTCGCTGATAGTGGAAGGTTCCGCCGGACATTTGCAACAAATACATATTCCCCCAGTAACGGAGGGACACAAAAATACCAATACATGCACAGACTGAGTATCTGCTGCATTGTGCGCGCGGGACCCTCCCACTTTCGGAGACATATAGTCCTCTACCCAATTACGGTGGTACGGTAGAAGTATTGTTTAGCCGTACAACAACTGAGCAGATGCAAATGCGCATAGTTCCTACAGATCAGAAAATCACGTCATATCCAGGCTGAGTGTTTTATGCTGCAAGAGACAACCGCGACTAGATGTGCAAAAGAATATGTGCATTCAGACAATGATAATTAATTCAGTGACTTTTTTCATGGTCTAGTCGTGACTAGCAGGTATCTGTAGGGTAAAAAAGAGTAACCAGGTTTTCTGCAGTCTGTAACACGTACCAAGCCAACCTGCAATGTTTATGAAATACCTAGCATTGAATACGATTACCCATGCCGACCTTTGTACTCCAGGTATCGGCATGTTTAGGTATTCTGAGAGAATGCGACGCTTATGCATAATCATGGGAATTTATACGAATTTTTCCTGATTGAGGGCCGTGTTGGCAACTTTTTAAGGCACAGTCCAACCAAGCTGAGGATTTTGAGATTTTCATACTGTATAATAGCGGGGCCCTAACTAGGTAATCGCCCAACTCCCGCCACAAAATATGAATTTCGAAGCGAGAAAATCGCTCGACAAGGTTGAATCGGTGAGGTGGCACCGCCCACCAACGTGGGTGGTCCAAAGACAAAATGTCCAAAATCGGACTTTGATGTATCGAAAGTTGGTCATAAATCCACTTTCAATATGACCATCAGATTTTCGACATTATTTACCCTGCAGCCGATTTCGAGCCCATTATATTCAGACCACCCACGTTGTGGGCGGAGCAGTCTGGGCCGCTTCTAACTTCTGGGAGGAATTTTTCGCTTCGAAATTCATCTTTTAAGTGGGACTTGGACGATCACTTACTTAGGGGCCCCGCTATCATACAGTGTCAAAATCTCAACAGCCTCAGTTTGAAGGCAGCGTCCAGGCAGATCTGGACCTATGGGGCTTTTACGTGAGAAGTATTTTTGGGGCCCTAACCAAGGCACTGCCCAAGCGGCAGCTCATGTAGTGCTCTAATGGCTGAGATATTCCCCTCGAAACTGGCCCCCGCGAACGTATTTGCATGGATTCATGGCAGTTTCGCGCCAGGATCCACGCTTTGCGCCATGAATCCATGCGAAACACGGTCGCGGGGTCCACTTTCGAGGGGAATATCTCGGCCGTTAGGGCACCACCTGAGCTGCCGGTTGGGCAGTGGCTTAGTTAGGGCCCCAAAAGTACTTTCCACGTAAAATCCCCATAGATCCAGACTTTCCTGGACGCTGCCTTTAAGTGGAGAATACCTTCAAGAGGGAGAAAGATTTCGCGCCCCAATTTCATCCCCCAGATTTTTTCGAAAATATTCAAGACCGCGCACTTACCAGTCATCTCATGGTCACCGGTACTATCCGAACTATGCCGATCGTCAATGCTGTTCCTTTGCCGTTGCTGATCACGACGTAGCTTTATCTGTTTTGCCATCAACGATCGCCTATCTTCAACGAGTTCACACTGAAAAATTTATGGCTCACATTGCTTTGTTACATTCTGTGCGCGTCTTTTGCAGGTGGTAGAGAGGGGGAGGGGGGTAGCTAAAGTGCGAAGAACTACAGCAGCGTTGCAAGAGCGAAGTCTTCTCTGTGTTACAGTTCATTCCCCCATTAAAAGGAGATTTATGGCGCCCTCTGTAAAGATAAATTTGATTCGCAAGTGTTGCGTGGATGGTCAAGATTTTCAATACACACGGTGTGTGCCAGAGTTCATAAAATCACAAAACGTCTTTGTGGTATTCGTGGCAAGAACAAGACGTTTCGTAATTCTGCGCACAAGAATGGGCGGAGCCTGTTCAGGCAAACTGAGGTATTTTAGTGCATCAAAATGTTATCATAGCACATTTTTCCCTCCTTGTATCTAATGTAATTTAGCGAATAGATATGTAGGTTTGTCCCCAAAGACGGTAGAAAGGATTTCTTTTTTCTTTATTTACTTACAATATTTTTATTGTAAAACGCGAGCGAGATAGAAGAAGTTGCATTTTTCATAAGTAATCCAAAAAAGTTTGCAGGATAGCATTTTGTTCAGCGTTTCACGGGCTTATGTTTGGGTAATGGAAATTTTTCGGGCTGCTAAAAGCTAGAATAGGTCGTGAGGGACAACTCCCAAAGAGTATTTTTTCAATAATTTTTCACAATTTTTTGTATATCATATATGTATTGTGACCTTTTTCAATGGGTCATTTCAATAATTCTGAGAATTTTCACATTTTCTTTACCAACCAACATGAAAAGTATTGACACAGCTGGAGTTTATCATCATGGAGATTATGTGAAAGGCCATGGGACCAGTTAACCCATTGACGACGACGCCTAGTTTTGCGCGGTGGCCCTGTGGGACGACGCGATTTTGCACAACACTCTCGGCGTGGGAAGGATTTGTGATTATTTACGAAATGTAAAGTTGTTTTGTAATCAACCACAATCATCTTCTTGGACGGCGGAGTCAACAGGTTCCGAGAGTGCAAAAAAAACTGGAAGAAATACTGAATTGTGGAGGAGATACTGCACCTGTAAAGGACATGATTTTGCAAGGGGTGTGGGCCACCGGTGGTCCACATCGTCCCTGGCGGCAAAAAGTGCGTAGGCCACCGGTGGTACACATCGTCATCAATGGGTTGATTATTAGAGATGAAACGAGGACGGGAAGCAAGAAATTTACGAGAATTCTGCCCGAAAAAAAAAATTCTGCCCTGAATAAAATCGAGATTTTGAGAATTTATAGGATGTTTTGATCATTTACGAAAATAAAAGTTAATGACTTTTTAACTCATATAGATCACCTACTCGTATAGATCATTTAAGTATCTTATATTATAACGATAAGGCGGCGGCGACAACGGAGAAGCCCAATTATTTGCTTGTTCTATTATAACCCTTGAATAACAAAAATTTCTCAAAGATTCGCCCTTTGTTTTATAATCCTCGAATAAAAAAAGTCTATTTTGAAGAAATTGTATATCGGCCATAATTAGCATTACTGGCTGAGATTTTTAAGGCTCTCGACTATTCGATAAATATTTTTCATCTATTCCCTCACCTTCTTCCGTGACTTAAGCTGCGCCTTAAAAATGCAAAAAACGACGTAAACAGCAGTAAGCAGATTTTATAGGACGGCTGTGCCGACCTCGAAAATTTATATACGAAGACGCAGCAGCCATTGTGCGATTGCTTCGAACCATTGCGAAAGGCACATAAAGACTTTTTCTGAGTTCGGTGGACCGCGTGAGGTCTTTCTGCTGCTGTGTTCGATATGTGCACAGTAATGGGAAATGAGGCAAACTTTAGTCAGATATTGCTTAGGCTTTGCGATTGAGGAGATCCAAACTTTGAAATTGTAGAGTTTGAATGCTACTCTCAGGAAAATAGATAAATCTGCTCCAAATTTTCTTTTGAGAGCGGTGATGTTGAGCAGTCTCTAAAATATACTGTAGAATTAATTGCAACATAGATAGAAAAAAGAAGATGGATTTCATTGGAGGTCAAGACGGATGATTTTGGAAATTATAAAATCGAGCACATGTGGGCAGATGCGAAGCTGCGGTGACTATAAAAGATTGGAAGCTTACTTTTCTCATAAATTCTATTTTATGCTACAAAGGCTATGAAATAAGCGGACTGTTGTTCCTTATACTTCTCTCGAGAACGAAGATTTGGTTTATCCTCTCACAGAATTTCTCGGGGATAAAGGGAAGGGGGGGGGAGAGAAGAAACATGGAAGAGCAGATCCAAGTTTTCGAAATTTTCAGCTTGAAAATGCAGTATGAAAGGCAGCCAGTTGTAGAAATTAGGCTAATTTGATTTTTAGTCACACAATTTTCTAAGTGATTGCAAATGAAAATAATTTGTGTGTGTAACTTCATGGCTCATTGAAACCACCACTTTGAACAATTTCAAGAATTATTCTTCGAGAAGCGGAGCCGCAATCGTCATTATTTGAAAATTTATAAGAACAAATTAGCCCGACGTTTTGAAAAAACAGCCATAAAAAAGGAAAAAAACAAGGTTTTCTAAAAATAATCCGGTTCCCTAAAAAATGGCAAGAAAACTTTAAGTATCAGAATGAAACATTGTTTTTTCTTGCTGAGAAGATACAAACAGAGCAAATGTGACTGAGCAGTAGAGATGATTTAAATGGAGTCTCTCTCTCATTCATACCGTAGTCCGCGACGCGCTAGATGCGGACAACCTTGGCACGCTGTTTTATTGGCGCGGAAAACGTTCGAAAGGTACCGTAGTCGTGCTATTCAATCGCAAGAAGAAAAGCGGCTAGTCCTAGGCACATGAGGAGGGCAAACGATCGTTCTGTGTGAATGAAATCGATTTGGAAGCCATATGGATGATGTTTTTGAAGTTTTTTGGCTGTTTTCGAGCATGGAGGGGCAGAAATGAGGAGATGGTGTGTGCTATTTGCTGGTCTTTAGATCAGCGAGGAGTTCAAAGGGTATTAGGGAAATCTAGTTGCGAAAAAGTTAATACTTACCATTTCACATTTGCAGGTGGCAAATTGGCATAGAACCCGCTTATGACCCCGTAACGGTACCCGAAACCCGTGTTGTCGACATCGGGCGCATTGCGGGTCACGCACACGACGTCCATTTACCGTCTCCCTGGGCGACTCAGCCAACTGAAACAATAAAAATTCAATGACACATCTCTCGGACGAGTTTTCGGGTATCCTACCTTGGATTTACTGAGCATATTGTTCAGCTGTCGACGCTGTTCAACCATAATACAATCACTACATGTACAATTTGCATATCTAAAAATAGCAACAACATTACTCCCCATTTCATTCCCGCCTCCCATTCTACTCGGATAAAACTTCCCCCACTCACTTGCAAACAGGTTTATGACCTTTTCTTGGGAATTGCAAATCGTGATTCAAACATCGCTGACAGAAGTATTTCTTCTCATTCTGATTACTGTTGTACGATTTTTGCGATGGTGCCGGTGAGAGAGCAACGACATCAATCTCGGTTTCTGAATGGGAAAAAACGAACATCAATGAAAAATGATTTTCAACTGGTAGAGGAGAAAATGCATGCTTAAAGCATAGACCACAAAAAATTTAAGTATTGTGAATAAAGATAATTGATATTAACAACTGCTAATTAAATGGTAAGCGTTTTGTCCATCTGAGAGCTATGAGACTTTTTATTGCTGTTTTTTCTTAAAACTCTGAGTTCCATTACCATACCTTCAAAATGACTCTGAGGAAAATCCAAGAAAAATCCCAAAGAATGGCATATAAATGGAAATGACAATGTGAAATGAAATCAAAGTCCACTGCATGAAGCCATGGGAAACATTGAATTTTACAGAAATTTTTTCTCAAAAACCTGAATTTTTCACCTTTTCCTGATACTTTTGAACTCTGAGAAACATTTTGAAACTTTCGTAAATTTTTTGTAAAAATTGTGAATTTTCAATTTCTCAGCCCTTCTTTATTCTCTCAAAATTTCTAGAAAAGAAACAACTTGCAATTTTTTAATGTATTTCATAGTGAGAAATTTCAAATCACAATTTTTCTTCTTATTTTTCTACTCTAGAAACAACGAAAGACTCTCTGATTATCTTGAAGTTTTTTTCGAGAAGACTCAGATTTGTACTTCTTCTGAGATTCTTCAGAGTAAAATATTATGAACTTTTTGAACTTTCTCATTGCTTCCATAAAAGACCTCCATGTGATAGGCCTCCATGTTTCAATTTGAATAAGCTGTTTTTGGAGACGTTCTTCTCACGGGGTTCAAATGCTAGCGCTTTTGAATTTGTGCAGCCTGATATGGTAGAATTTTCACATATGAATTATATATTTCTCGATTGAAAAATAGGGAACAAATAAGCCTGTGTCAAAAATTTCCATAAAATTATCTTTCTCCAACGATTTTTGCATCAAGTTTGAAAATTTCACTCATGCATCTCAAAACTGTTATAAAAGCGAAAAAAAAGCTCAAAATCATCGTTGTATATGTGTGTATTGCTATATGCTATCATGGAAATTTTTCCTATGGGGGAGAGGTGATCCAGCAATTCAACGTGGGAGGTCGTTAATGGCTCTCTTTTGCCATCGTATGGTTATTTGGGCAGCAATATCAGATTTTTGTGCTGTCAAAAGGCTTGGATGAAGTTTAAGGACAATGTCATCAGAGAAAATATGTAATTTGGAGATATTCTAGAATATATTTGGCCTTCTTAGTTGAGAATTAGAGAGGCAAAAGAGCTAAGAGAGATTTTTTACTGAAGCGAAATTCTGCAAAATGTCTGAGGACTTATGGTGCTTCCAACTACCGCGGCTTGATTTCAAAAATAATTAAACTCTTCTTATCCGGGGATTCCCAGTATGAATCATATCCTGCGGTAATGAATAGAATACGTGTTTCTTTAGAAAGCAGAAATTGCCCTGCTACTCCTTTGTCTAGCACCAGTTGCGACTTGACACCGAAGATAAGATTGTAGATAATTTGGCACTCTTTGTGCAAGATAATCTTCTCAAGAAAGCGGACAGAATTATTTGAAAAAAGCTTGGAGGCCAAAAATGCCTATAAAGTTGGTCGGGACTTTTAGGTACAAATGTTAAAGTCTGAGGAGGCCCCTGACACTTCATGAGGTAAAAGCACTTTCCAAAAAAGGAAGAAGTGAAAAATAAAACAGCTGTTTTTAAGATTCTTCCATAAATGCTTCAAGAATGAGCGCAACGATGCGTGAGAGTTAATTCAGGTGGAAAACTAGGTCCCACCCAGATGGTAACATAGTTCTGATCTACCAAGAGGTAGTTTTTTATGACTGAGTTCGTGATCTTTTGGTTTTTGATCTTTCAATTTTCAGAGGTAGACTTTTGAGTGGCACTGATAGATTTCGAAATTCGATAAGGAAGGGGTCCCTGGATTCATGAGCAATTAACCAACGTAGAAAGATTATGGGATAGCTCCTTTATCATATTACGGGCCATATTCTGGCCCCATTTCCCAGACAAGGCGCCCCGCCACTGATCCGGCATTGGACTCTCTCATGAATCCGACGACTCCCCCGACAACGAGTGTGGAACGGGTCGGAGCTTACCTTCGTGCATGGTGAAGAGCTCGCAACATGAACACTGCAAGCGCGCGTTTTCGCTTCGCCGACGCTCCGCCCGCCGTTCAGACCACACACGACGAAAAAAGGTAAAGGACGCGATCGGCCCGACGAGCGAATGACACTCGACGCGCCCCCCACGGCCGCCGACCTCCCAGTTCGCAACAAAGTGCGTGTCGTGTGCGTCGCGTTCTCGCAACACATAGGCACACAAACACTGGTCCACCAGCACCCAGGTTGCCATCCTCGTCACCTCCCCTTCCTTTCCGTTTCCCATTTGTCGAATCGCATTGGATGCTGGTTTGTGTGATCTCGTGACCTGGAAAGTAGTCCCAGTGCCTTTTAATCATTAACACATTGATTATGTGAGGGCCTGACAAACTGCACATAACGCAACATCCCGCACCTGCACGTATTCGCGATTGAACCCTCGCTCTCAGACCATAAAACGCATTACACTTCTCCGCCATCCCCATTTGCGTTCTTGGATTTAGAAAAGGCATATTTTATTGTGGCACAACGCATGTACTTCGCTTGGCCGAGATCTGCCGCCGCAGGCCATATGCAGTTCAAAAATCAAGTGCTCACGTTACTTTTGCACTCAACGATCGTCATTTGTAGCATGTCGCTTTTCTCGGTCTGGTTTATGTATCAGACAGAACGACAGAGTATGTCGTTGAGGGAGACGTAGGGTCGGTGGAAAGACTATGAGCTGTAAGGAGATTTAGATTTATGTGAAGCGAAGACAGCGAGCCGTGGCGAGAGAGCACGAAACGAACAGAATGAGGAAAAACAATTGAAAAACGGCGGTCTGCTGGCTGCAAAAGACCACCAACGAAGAAAACGCCGCGGCTGTTTTGATTGCGCCCAACGGACGCCGCGAAAAAGGGAAGAGAGAAGAGAGCGATTCGTGGCAAAAAACAGATGTATATGCAGAAGCAAAAGAAATTAGCCCTATAAGCAGTTAGATTTTGATCTACGATTTTTTACTGTGATGACTCAAAGCCTTCCTCGTCATATAACGTTATTAGTGTGATCTAGGGATGTTCCAATCTTATATATAAAGCTGAATGTCTGTTTGTATGTATGTCTGTCTGTCTGTATGTCTGTCTGTGTGTACGTATGTTCCGAATAGAAAATTCCATTTCTGAACCGATCCGGACCAAACTTGGCACACATACACCTCGAGCCCCGGCGGGTGTCATAGGCTACTTTTCGTCATCGATCGATATCGATTTTATCGATTTTTATCGATTTTTTTGCGGAGTTCACTTAAGGGGCTGGGAGTTGGCATAGGGGGGTAAGTCGGCATGGGGATTCCGAATGCAATATTAGTTTTCAGGAATATCGATTACTTTTATCGATTTTATCGATTTTTTTGCAAAGTTTGAGCTACGGGGCTGGGAGTTGGCACAGGAGGGTAAGTGGGCATGCTGATTTCGAAAACAACACAGGGTACGGGAAAAGAAGTGTAGAAGTGGGCACAGGGAAAGGCTGTACAGGTATAGGGATGGGACCTTTATTGCAGTGTTTTCACAGGGCCGGGCGGAGCCGGGTAAGCAAGCTAGTAACTAATATAAAATTAGACCGTAGACCCTTTTTGTGTACAAAATCAGATTCTGTTCTGTGCTATACCAGGATCAAGAGCTTTTCAGTCACAAGAATGAGCAATCTAGTTCTGACTATTTATCTCCATTTCAAGTCCAAAATCGTAAAACTTCTTTCCTTGTAACTGTGTCCATGGTGCCATGATCGATAGCGCTATTTTGCCTCCCCCATTATTACTTTTCATATGCCCCACATTTCGTTTATTCTATTGTTCGGGGGAAAATAATCACAGCTTTGCTGTGATGCTAAGTGAGGAATTTGCATTTATGAGAGGTGTAGCGTAATTAAGAGACTTTGGTCGCCAATGAAATACCATCACTTCCATCAATTCTTTGCTTATTCGATGAAAAGAGAATTGAGTTTTGGCTCTTTATTCTTTGTAAACAAATGGTGGTGTAGCTACCCCCTAGATGCCTAGGAACTACTTGAGTACTATCTGAGGCAAAAGATTGCTCATTAGATTATGATTACGTGGTAATGCTATTTTAAGCACTCGTAGAAACCGTAGAGCCACCGCTGTACATGAAACAATCGCTGTCAAGAGACCACCCATGCCGATGTTTATACAGGAAAGTGCACTTGCACTCTGTTCGCAACACTCGCACTCGCGTCTGCAGAGAGAGGATCAAAAACAAAATGTTGCGAAATGGCAAAAAAGGCAGCCAGCGGAAAAAGCGCACTCTTAGCGTCCGCCCCCCGTCCACCGCAACCCGTCGTTCGCAACACAACCCGTGCGCTGCGCCCCCGTCAAAGCGGAGGCAAGTGGGCCTCTGCAACGCATGTGCTGTCCATGTGCTCTCCATAACTCAAGCAGTGGATTTCCATTCGATTTCAAAGAGCTGCTGCTATGTGCTGCGAGACGATTTGCTCCCAGACCACCCACGATGAATCGACCACCCAGTGCACGTTCTCTAGTGCTGCTGCCATTGTTGCTAATCTCGCGACGGTTTCGAGGGAACATTGATATTCTTATTATAGCGTCAAATAGATTAGTAGAGAAAAAGCTGTGCTGCTCGTCCGCGGCTGTTAGAAAGGGCAGACGAACATCCTCAGACCGTTTTTGCATACGTTGCACTTTAAATTCGAAGAACATCGCGCGCTGAATCAGCCTTGGGAGCGCTATTTATAGCTTTAAAAACTTTATGTCTTCGCCTCATATCTGATGACTAAGAAAGTATCATAGCATATAGAATCTGAAGCTGTATAAAATTATGCAAAACTTAGTGAGTGGGGATCTTTCAATGTTTTCAAGATGAGCTTTGTCTGAAATCTCAATATTAATTTCATCATCTTCCCATAAGATACTATCAAACTATTAAGTTGTGTAAGTTTTTCTGTTTTAGTTTTTATCTCAGCAACCTTGACCGTAATTGGAATGGATTATATATGCTATTCAAAGCTCTGCTCTGCAAGTTCCTATGCGTCATCGCCCAACTTACAAGGAAATTGTCAGAAGTTGAAGTGACCAATCCAGACAAGCTGCATATCACTCGATGCAGCATAGAACGCTGATTTCAAATACGCCTTCCTTATCTGCAGGGCGCCTTTGTAGACGAAGTTATGAGCAGCTCTACTACGAAAAAATCGTACATAAAAATTGCCAAATCATGTACATTATTGCCCTTTTAGCTCGCCTCTAGGTGCGGCCCATATGAAGTGATCTAGTTGCATTTTTGGTCCAACGCTGAGTGCCCTTTACACACACGATTTCTTGGCAGAATAATGATCTTTAACGGCTCAAAATTTCGGTCACATGTCGATCTGCAGACAAGGAATGCAGATTCGAAGTCAGCATTTCATGCTGCATCTAATCGTATGCAGTTTGTCCAAATGGCCACTTTGATTTCTGACCATTTCCTCGTTAGCAGAAAACTGAAAAAAGTTTTTTGACATCAAACAATAAATCCAAGGAAGGGAAAATCTATTTTTGACATCTTTTTTCTCTCCATATTTGCCTATTTATTACTGGTAGAATTTAGACAAGCTTGACAACAAACAAATAACCTTTCCAGACTCTTACGTTTGTACTGTTACTGCTTGTGCTTGTTTCTTTCCTTCAACCGACTTTCAGTGTCATTTTTACAAATCGACGAAGCAAGACTTTGTCGCGGCGAAGTTCATCGTTTCGCATACTTAAGATGTGTAAACTCAAACTTTGAATTTTTGAGTAATTGACTTATGAATTTGATGATTTTGTAGCCATAGGCCATCCATTCTGCCTTTTCTGGAATATCATCTACCGTCTCTTTAAAGACTGCCTTCAGATGCCCAATGTTAAAGTTGAAGACAAGTTAGAGAAAAGACTTTTTGAAGACAACAGAAGTAACCTTCGCTACTTAGCACTCCTGAAGCGCTGCAGAAGCTGTGTCATCCTTTCTTTACGAAACAAATTTTTAGAGCTGCTTCGTACGCATTCTTACCTATTTGGAGGGCGATCGTAATGTAGGTCGAAAATGTTTTTTTCCAATTCAGTTTCTCTCTATGTTGAAAAAGTCTTCCAAATCTTTTGATGTAAAAAGTTGAAGCGAAGGCGTAAAGTTTTCAGATGAATATTTGCATTAAAGGACAAGTGCGACAGAACTTATTACACAACCTAGTAGATGGCTGTTAATTTATTTTCTCCTAGTTAGGAACATGCATTACTCAAAGGTTTTTACTTGTCATCATCCTTGACCAGCTGCTTTTTGTTTTGCAACCATAGGGAGCATAAGTCAAGAGTTCGGCGACAGAACTTCAAATGTGTTGGTTCACTGAGCATTTGTCTCTTTCAAAAATGATAGTCATTTGATTAGGGATCTTCTACTTGGACGTGCAATGATCTAACAGGGAAGTAGGTACAGGGAATTATCCACCGCACAGCATACATTGAACGGGATCTACTTCTGATTCCTCCAAATTTTTTCATAGTTTCTGGTTCCGGCCTAGCATATCTCGTTTATCTCTTTTAACTAGGGTAGACCTTTTAAGAGAAATTTATGTTCAATGCAATGAAACAGTGTAGAGGAAATACTAGGCTGTTGCATAAGTTCTGTCCGATTTGAATTTTTGAGTTTAAAATGTCATAATTTCTTTCAGAGTCAACTTTTTTCCAAGGTCTTAGTTTCTATGTGTTGAGCAGTCCCTTGGCTAAAAAATGCATATTGAGATCTGCGCAAATCTTTGTTAAGGAAGAACCAAGAATGCAAAAACTTCGCAGCGTTTTTCTTCGAATCTGTCTTTTTTGACATGGTAACGCTCCCTTATGAAAATTGATAGGCATCTTTTCTAATAATGGATGGATAGAGAAATTTTCGTAGATTATTATGCAACATAAAAGAGCCCATAGGGTTTGCGCTGCCGAGAGATTTTCTTGACCGAACAAAAAATTAGCCACTTTTTGACCTCGCTTCAGCACATGTGTGCATGCCTATTTATGAACTACGAACGTTTTACAACTGACGTGAGCGCCGAAAAGGAATTGGTGGATGGGCCCTGTTAGCTCTTGCTTTGCCCTAGCACC